ATAAAAATTAGCCAGGCATGGGGCTGGGTGCCTGTAATCCCAGCTACTTGGGAGGCTGAGGCAGAAGAATCACTTGAACTCAGGAGGGAGAGGCTGCAGTGAGCCAAGATCAAGCCACTGTCACTCCAGCTTGGATAACAGAGCAAGACTCTGTCTCAAAAAAAAAAAAAAGAAAAGAAAATAAATAGATAATATAAAAAGTAAAAATACTGTAGACAAAAGAAAAACATTAAAGATATATAACAGTAAAGCTGGGCACGGTGGCTCAAGCCTGTAATCCCAGCACTTTGGGAGGCGGAGGTGGGTGGATCACGAGGTCAAGAGATCGAGACCATCTTGGTCAACATGGTGAAACCCCTTCTCTACTAAAAATACAGAACATTATCTGGGCATGGTGGTGTGTTCCTGTAATCCCAGCTACTCAGGAGGCTGAGGCAGGAGAATTGCCTGAACCCAGGAGGCGGAGGTTGCAGTGAGCCGAGATCGCGCCATTGCACTCCAGCCTGGGTAACAAGAGTGAAACAATGTCTCAAAAAAAAAAAAAAATATATATATATATATATATTTATATATTTATATATTTATATATATTTATATATATTTATATATTTATATATATTTATATATATAACAATAAAAGGAAATTCATGGGCTGGGAGCAGTGGCTCATGCCTGTAATCCCAGCACTTTTGGAGATCCAGGTTGGTGGATCACTTGAGGTGAAGAGTTCTAGACCAGCCTGGTCAACATGATGAAACCCTTTCTCTACTAAAAATGCAAAAATCAGCTGGACATGGTGATGGGCGCCTATAGTCCCAGCTATTCGGGAGGCTGAGGTATGAGAATTGCTTGAACCCAGGAGGCAGAGGTTGCAGTGAGCTGAGATGGCACCACTGTACTCCAGCCCGGGTGAAGCAGTCTCAAAAAAAAAAAAAAGTAAATGTTGATGCTTGAGTCAACGTATTATTATATTCACTTTTCTACATGTTTGACATTTGTCATAACAAAGACTTTGGAAAGTTTTTTTTTTTTTTTTTTTTGAGACAGAGTCTTGTTTTGTTGCCAGGTGCCAGGCTGGAGTGCAGTGACACAATCTCAGCTCACTGCAACCTCCGCCTCCGGGGTTCAAGCAATTCTCCTGCCTCAGCCTCCCGAGTACAGGTGCACACCACCATGCCTAGCTAATTTTTGTATTTTTTAGTAGACACGAAGTTTCACCATATTGGCCAGGATGGTCTCGATCTCTTGACCAGTTATCCACCTGCCTCAACCTCCTAAAGTGCTGGGATTACAGGCGTGAGCCACTGCGCCTGGCTGGAAACAATTTTTAAGAACATGTTCACCAAAAGATTATTTCGGCTAAATTAAAAGGCAAGCAAGAAACTAGAGAAAAGTATCTCATAAATGACAGGCAAGTTACCAGCTTTAAGACATTAACTATATAAACAATCCCAACAAATTAATTAAAAGCACACAAAGGACGACATAGCCAATAAATAGATTTTTAAATGGTCTCTCTCACTGGCAATCAAAGAAACATAAACTGTTTCTTTGTCAATCAAACTGATAGAAATCTCCATTAAGACTGTAGCAGAGCACTGGGGAGAGATGGAGACTCAGGCACTCATGCATTGCAGGTGCGACTATCCGTTAACGCAGCTTTTCTGGAAGGCAGTTTTCCTATTCACATCTTTGACTCAACAACTTCACTTTTTGGAATTTACCCCAAAGAGATAGTGGACGTAATCTAATGGCAAATATTTAGCAGCATTCTTTGTAGTATCAAATAATTGGATAAAATTTGGAAGTCCAATACTAAGCTATTGGTTACAGAAACTGTGCTGTCTAATGAATTACTATAAAACAACTGAAAACTTGCCAGGCGCGGTGGCTCACACCTGCAATCCCAGCACTTTGGGAGGCCAAGACGGGATTGCTTGGGCCCAGGCGTTTGAGAGCAGCCTGGGCAACATGGTGGAAACCCCATCTCTACCAAACAATGGCAACAAAATTAGCCACACATGGTGGCGTGTGTCTGTTGTCCCAGCTACTCAGGAGATTGAGATGGGAGAATTACTGAGCCCAGGGAGGTCGAGGCTGCAATGAGCCATAATTACAACAGTGCACTCCAGCTTGGGCACCACAGCAAGACTCTGTCTCCAAAAAAAAAAAAGAAAGAAAGAAATTGCAAAACAAGATATATCATGACAGTTAAAAATCTATGCATACATCCGAGTCACGGCACCAAAAAAAAATTTATATATATATATATATATATATATATATATATATATGCATACAGGCTGGGCATGGGGCTCACACCTGTAATCCCAATGCCTTGGGAGGCTGAGTCAGGCAGATTGCATGAGCTCACGGTTTCGAGAACAGCCTGGCCAACATCGCAAAGCCCTGTCTCTACTGAAAATACAAAATTTAGCCGGGGGTACTGGCATGTGCCTGTAATCCCAGCTACTTGGGAGGCTGAGGCAGGAGAATTTCTTGAACTTGGGGGGCAGAGGTTGCAGTGAGCTGAGATGGCACCATTGCAATTCAGCCTGGGTGACGGAGACTCCGTCTCCAAAAAAAGAAAAAAGGGCCAGGCACAGTGGCGTGTGCCTGTAGTCCCAGCTACTTGGGAGGCTAAGATGGGAGAATCACTCGAACCCCGGAGGCAGAGGTTGCAGTGATCACGATCGTGCCATTGCATTCCAGGCTGGGTGAGAGAGTGAGACTTCGTCTCAAAAAGAAAACAAAAACAAAGTAACCATTATTTTATTTTATTTTTTTATTGCTCACCTTCAACTGTCTTGATCGAGTTATACATTATTTTATTTTATTTTTTAATTTTAGAGATGGGGTCTCACTATGTTGCCCAGGCTGGAGAGCAGTGGCTATTCACAGGCATGATCCCACTACTGATCAGCACAGGAGTTTTGACTTGCTCCATTTCCGACCTGGGCCAGTTCACCCCTCCTTAGTCAACCTGGTGGTCCCCCGCTCCCAGGTCACCATACTGATGCCGAACTTAGTGCAGGCACCCGATCGGCATAGCGCACTGCAGGCCATAACTCCTGGGCTCAAGCAATCCTCCCGCCTCAGCCTCCTGAGTAGCTGAGACTACAGGCATGGGCCACCACGCCCGGCAGTAAGCATTATTTTAATAAGTAATGCAAGAGTAGTGATGCTGGCAATTTGGATGTGCCAAAAATCCATAAAATGTTTCAAGTGAAAAGGTAATAGTTCTTCATAAGGAAAGAAAAAAAATGATCACATGCTGAGGTTGCTAAGATCTATGATAAGAATGTATCTTCAGGCTGGGCATGGTGGCTCACGCCTGTAATCCCAGCACTTTGGGAGGCCAAGGATCACAAGGTCAGGAGATCGAGACCTTCCTAGCTAACACAGTGAAGCCCCATCTCTACTAAAAATATAAAAATTTAGCTGGGCATGGTGGCACACCCCCGTAGTCCCAGCTACTCCGGAGGCTGAGGTAGGAATCGCTTGAACTTGGGAGGCGGAGGTTGCAGTGAGCCAAGATCGCGCCATGGCACTCCAGCCTGGGGTGACGGAGCAAGACTCTGTCTCAGGAAAAATAAATAAAGAAAAAGAATCCTCTGTTCATGAAATTGTGAGGGAGAAAAGAGAAATTTTCTGTTGCATCTCAAACTCCAAAAGTACAGCCACGGTACAGGATAAGAGCTTAGTGAAAATGTAAAGAGCTTAAATCTGTGGTTGGAAGACATGAACAGAAATGTGCTCCAGCTGACGGCAGCCGGGTTCAGTACTATCTGAGGTTTTAAGTCATCCTCGGTGGGTCTTGGAAGGTATCCCCTCTTGGGTAAGTGGGGACTACTGTACATTTGGTCTCCAGAACTCTTGGGAAGCTGTGATCAGGAGGAGAGGGTCTGCCCTCACCCAGTCCCTTCATCTCACCCTGGTAAGGAACAGGCTTTGGAGGTGACTAGAGAATTTCTGCAGTTTGGGAGGCAGCTGCCCAAGGTGCTGACTTTGCATGTGAAGCTGGTCTCTCAGCGAGATCCACGCCAGAGATGGCTGCACTCCTTTCCTGCCTGAGTGAGATGGATCCCCTAGAGTCAGGGGTCAGACGTGGAAACCTTGGCTTCTGGGAGAAGGTAGCAGAGCAGAGTTCAAAGGCACTGGTTTATGACGTCTCATAAAAACTCCGGGTGGAGCCAGTGCCCCTGGGGGTGGAGAGGAAGAGCAGTTGTGCCCACTAGGGCCCTTGCTAATTGAGGGTCATGCCGAGAAGAGACCTCCCATCTGTTCTGGGGATACCCCAAGTATAAGCCCCTGCATCCTTGGGTTTGGGACTCCTGGAATCCCAGGGTCCTGCCTCTCCTTCGCCATGAACCATTCGCCCCAGGGAAGGTGGGAGGACAGCAGAGCCTCCTTCTCTTGGTTGGTAGGAGGAAAAGTTCAGGCGCCCCTGACCCTACCTGGACAGTGCTGTCTGCCCGTGGTGAGAGCCTGGGCAGAAAAGCACAGCATCCCTTGCTCTCTCCGAAGCCAAGGATGGGGCTAGGCGCGGTGGCTCATGCCTGTAATCCCAGCACTTTGGGAGGTCGAGCAGGTGGATCATTCGAGGTCAGGAGTTCAAGACCAGCCTGGCCAACCTGGTGAAACCCTGTCTCTACTAAAAATATAAAAATTAGCCGGGCGTGGTAGCATATGTCTGTAATCCTAGCTATTCGGGAAGCTGAGGCAGGAGAATCACTTGAACTTGGGAGGTGGAGTTTGCAGTGAGCCGCGATCGTCACACTGCACTCCAGCCTGGATGACAGAGCGAGACTCCATCTCAAAAAAAAAAAAAAAAAAAAAAAAAAGCCAAGGGTGGGGCACATCAGCTCTGGTTGTCAGGCTGTCGCTGGGCTCTGGGCACCCAGGGACCTGGCAGCACCTGCCTCCCCACCCCCTCACCTCTCTGGGGCCCTATCTTCCCTTATATGGTGAAGGCAGTTCCTAGAGGAAGGGGGGTGGGGACAAAGGTCGCTCTTCTGCAGCCAGCTTGCCACAACTCCCTGAGATCTCCCAGGTGGCAGCTGCCTCCCCAAGACAGGTAAGGCAACCTGGTGGGGACACATGGAGACTATATGTGGTGTGAGGGGACTGGGGCCCCTGCTTTTCTCAGGCAACCTGGGGCCTCCCGGAGCACTGTGGTGCGGGCTCCAGGGGAAGGCTTGGCACTCTGGATAGTGTGAGAAGGGCTGGCCCAGTGTGTCTGCCCTGGGCCTCCAAGGAGAGACTTTTGCAGGCCCTGCTGGAGACAATGGCTCTCTCGGTCTCGGGCTGGCGGCTAGCCCCATCCCATTTAGGTGTCACCATCCCAATTGCCCTGGAATTTCTAGAGTTAAAATCAGGACAGTCCTGGGCAGACCGAGACTAACTGGTCTCCCTGACCTCACTCCCTGAGCCCCCTCCCCATCAGCTCCTCTCTTTGCCCATTTCTTCTTCATCTGAAGTGTTTTTTTCTATGTGTCACCATGCCTCTGACACTCCTGGGCCTTCAGGGCCCCGCCTCCTGGCTCCTAGCATATGAGCAACAGCCACCAGGAATTGAATGGAGGTGGCAGGGCCTTAGGTCCTGGGCCATGCCGGGCCACCGTACCATGCACCTCTGCCCCATCTCCCTCCACCCACAGCTGCCCCATTGATTCCCCTGCCACTCTGCCCTGCTTCGGCAGAACTGGGGCTGGGAGCTAGGTGCAGACGAAGCTCTGGACACACTGGCTACCGTCTTCTTGGGACATCATCTGCTGGGGACTCCTGCAGGCCACTGAGAGGCAGAGCCTGTGGCCTGGAGGGTCTGGGCGGGTGTCCATTCCCTCTGCTATCAGGGCAAGGGGCCGGGAAGCAGGAGGATGGCCTGTGTCTGAGGGGTGGGACTTCACCCCCACAGCCCCACCACATTCCCGTTCAGCTCAGAGCTGCATGGCTGGGAAGTGGGAGCCGTGGCAGCACCCCACGTACCACAGAGCCGCACCTCGAGTACAACAGGGTGCAGATAAGAAAGGCAAGGTGAGCCGGGCGCAGGGACTCACGTGGGTAATCCCAGCACTTTGGGAGGCCAAGGTAGATGGATCACTTGAGGTCCGGAGTTCAAGATCAGCCTGACCAACATGGTGAAACCCAGTTTTTACTAAAAATCCTAATTAGCCAGGCATGGTAGTGCATGCCTGTAATCCCAGCTACTTGGGAGGCTGAGGCAGGAGGATTGCTTGAACTGGGAGGTGGAGGTTGCAGTGAGCTGAGACTGCACCACTGCAGTCCAGCCTGGGCAATAGAGTGAGACTCTGTCAAAAAAAAAAAAGAGAGAGAAAGGAAGGAAGGAGGGAGGGAGGGAAGGAAGGAAGGAAGGAAGAGGGCAGGAGCCCAAACCCCTCAAAGGCCTTTGGAGGGTCCTCCTTCCATCCCACAGTTCAGCCTTTCAGCATCGTATTTGTTGAGCACCTACTATGTGCAGGAGCTGGGGGCTACAAAGACAAATATATTTATGTCTCGGAGCTCAGAGGCCTCAGACTTACAACCAGGTTCTTTCATCACTATGTGGTCAGCAGACCAAGAGAGGGGACAGTCCAAGATGCCGAGGGGCCCGTCATCCAGCCTGAGGATTCTGGGAAGGTCTCCTGGGAGAAATGAGACCTAAATTGAGTCTAGAAGAGCATATTCGTGTCAGACAAGAGAAGAAAGGTGGGGAGAGCTCTCCAGGTGGGAGCAGCGAGAGCAGGCGTGGGGTGAGAGGCAGCATGGGGGAGGGGCCTGCCAGCAGTGTGGCATTTCTCAAGGGCAGAGTGCCAGCAGAGGGGCCGGGGGCTGTGTGTATCAGGGAGACTCAAGGGAGTTTAGGCGAACAGAAGGGCAGGATGGGGAGGAGTCCAGGATGCTGCACAGATGTTTGACTTCGGGGTCTTGGCGTGACGGTGCCCTTCCCAGTCTGGGGACATAGAAGAGAAAGTACCAGGAGTGAGGGAAGCCAGTGAGTTCAAGCTGAGGGAGAATACAACTCAAATCCAAACCAGGGCCCATGGTGGCAGGGCTGGGGGCAGTGAGGGTCCCTGGTTTCCTGGCAGTTCAGGGAAGACAGGGGAAGTAAGGAGGGGGCCCTGCCAAGGGGTGGAGGAGAGGCGTCTGCTCAAGCAACACGGGTAGAGGGCAGGAGCAGCTGGAGGGTATACAGCCGGTAGGGGGGCCACGTCTCAGAGCTCCCACTCCTGAGTCCCCTTGGCCACCTTTGGCCTGTGGGGACTGGCCTCAATCCTGATTTCTCTCCAGGGAGGGGGAGAACTGGCTTTTTCAAGTCCCTGCCCACCCGAATGCCCTCTAATGAGCAAGAAGTGTCTCCTATGTCCACCCTCTATTCCTCTTGCTGCCAGTTACCCCTGGAATCAGCATGTTCATGTTCCTGGGTGAGACTTTAGAGATCATCGATTTAGCTGACCCCCTGAGTTGACCCCCTCAGCTCATAGATGAAGAAGGGAAGTGCACGTTCATGCAGCTAGTGAGTGCCAAAGAAAAAGGGGGATGAGGCCGAACACAGTGGCTCACGCCTGCAATCCCAGCAGTTTGGGAGGCTAAAGCGGGCAGATCACGTGAGGTGAGGAGTTTGAGACCAGCCTGGCTAACATGGTAAAATCCTGTCTCTACTAAAAATACAAAAATTAGCTGGGCATGGTGGTGCACACCTGTAATCCCAGCTACTTGGCAGGCTGAGGCAGGAGAATGGCTTGAACCTGGAAGACAGAGCTTTCAGTGAGCCAAGATTATGCCACTGCACTTCAGTCTCAGCAGCAAGAGCGAAACTCCATCTCAAATAAATCAATAAAAGGGGGGACAGAGACAAAGGAGATGATGGAAATGAAACAGAAAGCATTCCCCTCCTTTGTACCCAACTGGTTCTGCTGGACCAGGAATCCTGGGAGCCCTGGGGACTTGGCAAGTTGAAAAGTATCTGATGGAGGGGGCCATGGTTGCTGATGGAGGAGGCCATAGCCAACAGGCCATCAGACAGGACCCAAACCCAAGGGGCTCCTACAGATACACAGCAAGCTGCTGCTGATCGGTGAAGGAGGCTCTGTTCAGAGACTGGGCAGGGCCTTGCCTCAAACTCCAGAATGCCAGGGAAGCAGCGGCCACCCCTCAGGGCTCAGGAAAGGGAAGTTCCAAGTACTAAAAGTCCAAGTCACTAAGAGGTGACTCAGAGTCAAGGTGCAAGGAGAGATTAGATAGTGAGATTTCAGGGTGTCAGCGAGTGGAGGCCTGACCTGTCGACCAAATGCCCTTTCATTCTTTATTCACAAGTTCAAGGAGCATTCATGGAAAGCAGCTCCCTGCCAGGCTGGTGAAAGGTTCCATGGAGATCCGGGTGGCCTCTGGCCTGGTGAGGAGGAGCCTCAAAACTAGGGAGGAGAGGCCGGGCATGGTGGCTCACGCCTGTGATCCCAGCCCTTTGGGAGGCCGAGGCAGGCAGATCACTTGAGGTCAGGAGTTTGAGACCAGCCTGGCTAACATGGTGAAACCCCGTTTCTACTAAAAATACAAAAAATTAGCCAGGAGTGGTGGCGTGCGCCTCTAATCCCAGCTACTCAGGAGGCTGAGACAAGAGAATCGCTTGAATCCCCAAGGCAGAGGTTCAAGTCAGTTGAGATTGCACCATTGCACTCCAGCTTAGGCAACAAGAGTGAAACTGTTTCAAAAAAAAAAAAAAAAAAAACTAGGGAGGAGAATAACTGAGAACAAGTGGCTCATTCTCTGCCCTGGCTCATATCAGAATCACGGGGGAGTTTTAAAAGCACCCATGCCCCACCTCCCAAAAGGCAGAAAATAAAGCACCCATGCCCAGGCCCCACCCTGGCCTAATTAAATCAGAATCTCTGGGGATGCCACCTGAGCATAGAGCATCAGTACGTTCAGAAGCTCCCCAGGGGATGCTGATGAGCAGCTGGAGCGAACACAGCTACAGGTCCAAACAGAAAGGACCGGCCCGGGTGTGGTGGCTCACGCCTGTCATCCCAGCACTTTGGGAGGCTGTGGTAGGTAGATCACCTGAGGTCAGGAGTTTGAGACCAGCCTGGCCAACACGGCAAAACCCCATCTTTACTAAAAATACAAAATTAGCCAGGTGTGGTGGTGGGTACCTGTAGTCCCAACTACATGGGAAGCTAAGGGAGCATAATTGCTTGAACCTGGGAGGCGGAGGTTGCAGTGAGCCAAGATCCATCCAGCCTGGGTAACAGAGCAAAATTCTATCTCAAAAAGAAAAAAAAAAGGAGAAAGGGCTGACATGAGGAGAAAACTTGAGGAGGGAGGATTCCTTCCAGCTCAGCGGGCAGAGGGTGGTTCACAGTGGGAGGGTTCACTCTGTTTATTCATTCATTCATTCATTCATCTATTCCTCACTCCTTCCCTCCCCCTCTCTCTTCCTTTATCCAGCACAGTCACTGTGCTGGACACTGTGGATTCGGTACTAAGCAAGCAGCAATGGTCCCCAAGTAGGGAGTAACTCTCTCTGCTTCCCCTGGCCCCTGAGTCTGCGACCTCCTGACAGTGTCGGGAGTTCTCTAGGGCCAGGCTGGAAGGGCGGCATCTGAACCCAGGGTGCCCCTGCTCCACCACCTTCTCCCCTAGGCTCACTCACCATGACCAGGCTGAGCGCCCAAGTCAAAGGCTCTCTCAACGTCACGACCCCTGGGCTGCAGATATGGAGGATTGAGGTGAGGCCCTGTCTGGGCGTGGGCACCGTGCAGGCTTGGGGTGGCGGGAGGGAAGGCAGAGGGCTGGGCTTTCTCTTAGTTTCCTCTGCTCCTGCCCTGTGGCCCCCGAGAGTGCAGCCCCTCACCTCCCGCATCACCCACACCCCGGCTGGTCTCCCTTTCTCTTTTCTCCATTCCTTCCCCCCCTGCTCTCAACCTTCCTCTCTATTTCCTCTTCCTCACTCATCCCTTCCTTTCCCTCTCTCGAGTTCCCTCCTCCCGCCCTCACGCAGTTACCCTCTCCCCGCTTCCTTTTCTCTCTTTTCATTCCTGGGCGCTTTTTCTCCGACCCCTCCTCCTCCTGGGCCCTCCTCCTCCCAGGCCTAGGGGTCCTGGTGGTCCCGGGCAGCCCCTCCGACCCCCCTTTCTCTCCTTAGGCCATGCAGATGGTACCTGTTCCTTCCAGCACCTTTGGGAGCTTCTTCGATGGTGACTGCTACGTCATCTTGGCTGTGAGTCAGGGGCAGGGGAGGGGCCGAGCAGAGAGCAAACCCACTGTGGTGTCAGGGAGGAAACACAGGCTGGGGGCTATGGGGAGAGCCGGCCTGGCTTCACCTCAAGACAGAATTCACTGGGTGTGCTCAAGTGGCCACCGTCGTGGTGGCTTTACAGAGGCCAGAGGCTCTCCCTGCCCCTGATCCACTCAGCTCCCATCTGAGGCCAACTTCTGTGGATTCACAGCCTTGGGGGGCCTTCTGAGTTGTTACCATATCACCCTAATTTGCGTCCACATTTCCGAAATCCATAGTCATCTTTTTTTTTCAACTTTTTCCAGATGGAATCTTGCTCTGTCCCCCAGGCTGGAGTGTGGTGACAAGATCTTGGTTCACTGCCACCTCCAGCTCCAGGGTTCAAGCGATTCTCCTGCCTCAGTCTCTCAAGTACCTGGGAAGACTGGTGCCTGCCACCACGCCCAGCTAATCGTTTTTGTATTTCTCAGTAGGGATGGGGTTTCTCCATGTTGGTCAGGCTGGTTGGTCTCGAACTCCCGATCTCAGGTGATCCAATCCACCATTTCAGTCTCCCAAAGTGCTGGGATTACAGGTGTGAGCTACCGCGCCCGGCCTCCTAGTCATCTTATCACCTTGATTTTCACCACACCCTGGTCCCACCTGTACTATTAAGATATTTATATTTTTTCTTTATATTGACTCATTTTAATATTTTATTTTATTTTATTTATTTATTTTTTTTTGAGACAGTCTCACTCTGTCACCCAGGCTGGAGTGCAGTGACAGGATCTTGGCTTAGTGCAATCTCTGCCTCCCGGGTTCAAATTCTCATGCCTCATCTTCCCCAGTAGCTCAGATTACAGGTGCCTGCCACTATGTCCAGCTGATTTTTTTTTTTTTTTTTTTTGAGACAGAGTCTCACTCTATTGCCCAGGCTGGAGTGCAATGGTGTGATTTTGGCTCACTGCAACCTCTGCCTCCTGGGTTCAAATGATTCTTCTGCCTCAGCCTCCCAAGTAGCTGGGACCACAGGCATGAACCACCACATCCACGAATTTTTGCATTTTTAGTAGAGACAAGGTTTCGCCATGTTGGTCAGGATGATCTCAATTTCTTGACCTCGTGATCTGCCTGCCTTGGCCTCCCAAAACGTTGGGATTACAAGCATGAGCCACCGTGCCCGGCCTAATTTTTGTATTTTTGGTAAAGATGGGGTTTCACCATGTAGGCCAGGCTGGTCTTGAACTCCTAACCTCAGATATGATCTGCCTGCCTCTGCCTCCCAAAGTGCTGGGATTACAGGCGTGAGCCACCAAGCCTGGCACAAGCAAGTTATTTCTGAGATGAGGCAAGGGAGGCCAGGAGAGGAGAAGCCACTTGCCACATGTCTCAGAGACTCAATGGTAAAGTTGGGACATGGCTCAGGGCTCCTCACCACCAGCCCAGCGCACTTGCCCTGTGACAAGCTCCCCCATGGTCCTGGAAGGCACATGTGTGGGAGTCACACAGAGCGGGAGGGGCTGTGGGAGCCCAGGGCCTTGGGTACACTGGACACCCTTTCTCTAGATCCACAAGACGGCCAGCAACCTGTCCTATGACATCCACTACTGGATTGGCCAGAACTCCTCCCAGGATGAGCAGGGGGCAGCTGCCATCTACACCACACAGATGGACGACTTCCTGAAGGGCCGGGCCGTGCAGCACCGCGAGGTCCAGGGCAACGAGAGCGAGGCCTTCCGAGGCTACTTCAAGCAAGGCATTGTGTAGGGAAGCGCGCTGCAGGCGTGGGGAATGAGGATGAGGGGTAGGGATGGAGAGGTTGGGGCTGAACTGAAGAGGCAGGGGCACCCAGGCCTGCTCAGGGCTGGGAAGAACACTCGGAGCTGGCGGAGGTCACCTGGGGCGGGGAAGGGCCCCTGAAACTGTGGGGAGAGGCACGAGGGGGACCCTCAGGAGTTTTTGGTGATTTTCCTTCACCTTTCCACTCCCCAACTCTTATTTCTGCCACTGCCTTGCCCTTGGTCTGGAGGTGTTCTGAGATTCTGTAACCCTTGTGAGTCTCTGGAAATCAGCCCCTACTTGAATGTCCTGGAGAGCGCAGTGCTGATCAAGGCCCCAGCTCTGGCCAACAGGGAAATGGCTACTCCCCCATCTCTTATGCAGGCCTACCACACTAAAACCAAGACTGCCAGCTCTTTTTTTTCTTTTTCTTTTCTTTTCTTTTTTTTTAGATGGAGTCTTGCTTTGTTGCCCAGGCTGGAGTACAGTAGTGTGATCTCAGTTCACTGCAACCTCCGCCTCCTGGGCTCAAGCAATTCTCATGCCTCAGCTTCCCCAGTAGCTGGGATTACAGGCATGCACCCCCACGCCTGGCTACTGTTTGTATTTTTAGTAGAGATGTGGTTTCACCATTGGCAGGCTGATCTCGAACTCCTAACCTCAAGTGATCACCTGCCTCAGCCTCCCAGAGTGCTGGGACTACAGGTGTGAGCCACTGCACCTGGCCCCACCTCAGCCTCTTGAGTAGCTGGGACCACAGGCCTGAGCCACCATGCCAGATTTTTTTTTTTTTTTTTGAGATGCAGTCTTGCTCTGTCACCCAGGCTGGAGTGCAGTAGCGCGATCTCAGTTCACTGCAACCTCTGCCTCCTGGGTTGAAGGGATTCTCCTGCCTCTGCCTCCCAAGTAGCTGAGATTACAGGCGCCCGCCACCACACCCAACTAATTTTTGTATTTTTATTAGAGACAGGTTTCACTGTGTTGACCAGGCTGGTCTCAAACTCCTGACCTCATGATCCACCCATCTTGGCCTCCCAAAGTGCTGCGATTACAAGCGTGAGCCAGTGCACCCAGCATCAGCTAATTTTTTAATATATATATAGACTGTAGAGATAAGAGTCTTCCTCTTGGCCAGGCGCGGTGGCTCAAGCCTGTAATCCCAGCACTTTGGGAGGCCGAGGCGGGTGGATCACCAGGTCAAGAGATCAAGACCGTCCTGGTCAATATGGTGAAACCCCGTCTCTACTAAAAATACAAAAAAAAGTAGCTGGGCATGGTGGCACATGCCTGTAATCCGAGCTACTCAGGAGGCTGAGGCAGGAGAATTGCCTGAACCCAAGAGGCGGAGGTTGCGGTGAGCCGAGATCGCGCCATTGCACTCCAGCCTGGGTAACAAGAGCGAAACTCCGTCTCAAAAAAAAAAAAAAAAAAAAGAGTCTTCCTCTGTTGCCCAGGCTGGTCTCAGACTCCTGGGCTTAAGTGATTCTCCTACCTCAGCCTCCTAAAGTCCTGGGATTACAGGAATGAGCCATCACTCCCAGCCCAGACTGCTGGCTTTTCTACATGAGTTGAAGTTTTGGCCTAGCTTTCCCCAGGGAAACACACACTCTAGGCCTGAGTTGTTACTGACTTGTAGGACAGGACAGGGGCTCTCTAATTAGCCACAATCTCCCCCACCCCCCACCCCACTTTTTTTTTGAGACAGCATCTTGGTTTTGTCACCAGGCTGGAGTGCAGTGGTGCGATCTCGGCTCACTGTAAACTCTGCCTCCTGGGTTCAAGTGATTCTCCTGTCTCAGCCTCCTGAGTAGCTGGGACGACAGGTGCATGCCATCACACCCAGCCAATTTTTTTTTTTTTTTTTTAGACGGAGTTTCGCTCTTGTTACCCAGGCTGGAGTGCAATGGCGCGATCTCGGCTCACCGCAACCTCCGCCCCCTGGGTTCAGGCAATTCTCCTGCCTCAGCCTCCTGAGTAGCTGGGATTACAGGCACGCACCACCATGCCCAGCTAATTTTTTGTATTTTTAGTAGAGATGGGATTTCACCATGTTGACCACGATGGTCTCAATCTCTTGACCTCGTGATCTGCCTACCTCGGCCTCCCCAAGTGCTGGGATTACAGGCGTGAGCCACCGCGCCCGGCCCTACCCCTCTTTTTCGTCTTGCTCCCCTCTTCCCACGCTATAGCAGTCATCCACTCCCATGGGCACCGGAGTGGCACTTCTTTCTTCTTTTCTTGCACTCTGATCCCCTGTCCTCAGGATTCTGTCCTTGTTTATTAATACATTTCCTTTTTTTTTTTTTTTTTTTTTTTTTTTGAGATGGAGTCTCACTTTCTTGCTCAGGCTGGCATGCAGTAGTGTGATCTTGGCTCACTGCAAACCTCCGCCTCCCAGGTTCAAGCGATTCTCCTGCCTCAGCCTCCCAAGTAGCTGGGACTACAGGCATGCACCGCCATGCCTAGCTAACTTTTGTATTTTTAGTAGAGATGGGGTTTCACCATGTTGGTCAGGCTGGTCTGAAATGCCTGACCTCAAATGATCCATCCACCTTGGCCTCCCAAAGTGCTGGGATTACAGGGGTGAGCTACCGCACCTGGCCTATTAAGACATTTCCCACTATTCATATATCATGACCCTATCTTTGCATGCATCTCCATAGGACAGGGACTCAGGTGAGGTGAGTGAGGATCTAGGTTGCAATTTTGGTTTTGAGATGGAGTTTCACTCTTGTTACCCAGACTGGGGTGCAGTGGTGTGATCTTGGCTCACTGCAACTTCCACTTCCCGGGTTCAAGTGATTCTCCTGCCTCAGCCTCCCAAGTAGCTGATATTACAGGCACCTGCCACCACACCCAGCTAATTTTTATATTTTTGGTAGAGATACGGTTTTACTATGTTGGCCAGGCTGGTCTCAAACTCCTGACCTCAGGTGACCTACCTACCTCAGCCTCCCAAACTGCTGGGATTACAGGCGTGAGCCACCACACTCAGCTTAGGGTGCAGTTGTTTTTTTTTTTTTTCTTTTTTTTTTTTTGAGACGGAGTTTCGCTCTTGTTACCGAGGCTGGAGTGCAATGGCGCAATCTCAGCTCATTGCAACCTCCGCCTCCTGAGTTCAGGCAATTCTCCTGCCTCAGCCTCCTGAGTAGCTGCGATTACAGGCACGTGCACCATGCCCAGCTAATTTTTTTTTTTTTTTTTTGTATTTTTAGTAGAGATGGGGTTTCACCATGTTGACCAGGATGGTCTCAATCTCTTGACCTCTTGATCCACCCGTCTCAGCCTCCCAAAGTGCTGGGATTACAGGCTTGAGCCACCGCACCCAGCCCAGTTTTTTTTTTTTTTTATAGTGGTTTTATTCTGCCCAGTTCCTATCAGAGGGTACATAACAGAGGAGGGGAATTACCAGGATTTCCCAGTATACCAAATTGTTGGTAGGCCTAAATACAGGAACTTTTAAGTTATCTTGGTTATACCTAAACATTGCTACTCCCCTACCCTAGCCCCGAAAAAGTGAGAGAGCTTGTCAAGGCAAAGTATTTTTTTTTTAATTGCATTTCAGGTTTGGGGGTACATGTGAAGAACATGCAAGATTGTTGCATAGGTACACACATGGCAGTGTGATTTGCTGTCTTCCTCCCCATCACCTATATCTGGCATTTTTCCCCATGCCATCTCTCCCCAACTCCCCACCCCCTGCTGTCCCTTCCCTATTTCCCCCTGACAGACCCCAGTGTGTGATGCTCTACTCCCTGTGTCCCTGTGTTCTCATTGTTCAAAACCCACCTATGAGGGAGAACATGTGGTGTTTGATTTTCTGTTCTTTTTTTTTTTTTTTTTTTGAGACGGAGTTTCGCTCTTGTTACCCAGGCTGGAGTGCAATGGTGCGATCTCGGCTCACCGCAACCTCCGCCTCCTGGGTTCAGGCAATTCTCCTGCCTCAGCCTCCTGAGTAGCTGGGATTACAGGCACGTGCCACCATGCCCAGCTAATTTTTTTTTTGTATTTTTAGTAGAGACGGGGTTTCACCATGTTGACCAGGATGGTCTCGATCTCTCGACCTCGTGATCCACCTGCCTCGGCCTCCCAAAGTGCTGGGATTACAGGCTTGAGCCACCGCGCCCGGCCGGTTTTCTGTTCTTGTGTTAGTTTGCTGAGAATGATGGTTTCCAGGTTCATCCATGTCCCTACAAAGGACGCGAACTCATTGCTTTTCATGACTGCATAGTATTCCATGATGTATATGTGCCACATTTTCCCTGTCCAGTCTATTATCAATGGGCATTTGGGTTGTTTCCAAGTCTTTGCTATTGTGAACAGTGCTGCAATGAACATTTGTGTGCACATGTCCTTATAGTAGAATGATTTATAATCCTTTGGATATATACCCAGTAACGGGATTGCTGGGTCAAATGGGATTTCTATTTCTAGGTCCTTGAGGAATCGCCACAGTCTTCTACAATGGTTGGACTAATTTAAACTCCCACCAACAGTGTAAAAGTGTTCCTATTTCTCCACATCCTTTCCAGCATCTGTTGTCTCCAGATATTTTAATGATCACCATTCTAACTGGCATGAGATGGTATCTCAATGTAGTTTTGATTTGCATTTCTCTAATGACCAGTGATGATGAGCATTTTTTCATAAGTTTGTTGGCCTCATGTGTGTCTTCTTTTGTAAAGTGTCTGTTCATATCCTTTGCCCACTTTTGAATGGGCTTGTTTGTTTTTTTCTTGTAAATCTGTTTTAGTTCTTTGTAGATTCTGGATATCAGCCCTTTGTCAGATGGGTAGATTGCAAAAATTTTTTCCCATTCTGTTGGTTGCCGATTCACTCTAATGACTGTTTCTTTTGCTGTGCAGAAGCTGTGGAGTTTGGTTAGGTCCCATTTGTCTATTTTGGCTTTTGCTGCCAATGCTTTTGGTGTTTTGGTCATGAAGTCCTTGCCCATGTCTATGTCCTGAATGGTTTTGCCTAGATTTTCTTCTAGGGTTTTTATGGTGTTAGGTCTTATGTTTAAGTCTTTAATCCATCTGGAGTTAATTTTAGTGCAAGGTGTCAGGAAGGGGTCCAGTTTCTGCTTTCCACACATGGCTAGCCAGTTATCCCAACACCATTTATCAAACAGGGAGTCCTTTCCCCATTGCTTGTTTTTGTTAGGTTGCAGTTTTTAAGGTTGCTGTAACTGTCAGGGTGTGCAAGGGCACGCCACAGGCCGACCTGACCGTGCAGGACTCCCTAAAGTTTGCACCCTCAGCACCTCATTCGCCTCACCTAGTCCCAGCCTGGCCCTCAGGTGGCTCCAGCTTGGCAGCCAGGACCTAGGAGAACAGGGACCAGGCACACCTCCCAGCCCACTCCCTCGGATCAGCTCACTTCTCTTTTCAGGATCCAGAAAGGCGGCGTGGCTTCCGGCATGAAGCACGTGGAGACCAACTCCTTTGATGTCCAGAGGCTGCTGCATGTCAAGGGCAAGAGGAACGTGGTAGCTGGAGAGGTAGGCAGGCCTGCTGGAGCATCTGCCAGGGCTGTGAGGCCCAGGGTGGAGGGCAGGGGCTGAGGAGGGGTGAGAGGCAGGGAGGGCTGGCCAAGATGATGGATAGTAGGTGAGCTCTGAATGGGGTCTGCACCTCCCCCGTGGCTCCCTAGGTAGAGATGTCCTGGAAGAGTTTCAACCGAGGGGATGTTTTCCTCCTGGACCTCGGGAAGCTAATCATCCAGTGGAACGGACCTGAAAGTAACCGCATGGAGAGACTCAGGGTAACCTGCCCATGCACCACACCTCCCTCTCGAATCCTAGCCTGCCCCTGCCTGCTCCTGCAAGCCCAGCACCTACCCCCGTCCTCTCCCTTTCTCCAGGCCTCTCCCAATGACTGCTGGGGACAGTGGTTGAAGGTGGATCTGTCTCCATGTGTTTGGGGCAGGCCTGCCTTGGGGTTTGCATGTGTGTGCTTGCAGCCAGTCCACTCAGATAGAATGAGTGTCTACAGTGTGGCAAAGCCTGTGCCCGGCCTTGTCGATCCAGCGGTGAATGAAACGGGCATGGGCATGCGTGTGTTTCTACTCACGGCACATTGATGCTGCGTGTGCACTGTGAGGCTGCAAGCATGTTTTGGGGCAAAGAGATTGAGTACTGTAATCCTTGGGGCGCAGCTCTCATCCTGAACTGTGGGGTCTAAGCACACATTTCCCACGCTGTCAGAACAGAAGACCCAGAAAAACTGCTCTCCCAGCTACCCTTCCCCTGGTTTCCTTACGTGGCTTAAAAGTGTGGCCCCTCGGCCGGGCGCGGTGGCTCAAGCCTGTAATACCAGCACTTTGGGAGGCCGAGGCGGGTGGATCACAAGGTCAAGAGATCAAGACCATCCTGGTCAACATAGTGAAACCCCGTCTCTACTAAAAATACAAAAAAAGTAGCTGGGCATGGTGGCACATGCCTGTAATCTGAGCTACTCAGGAGGCTGAGGCAGGAGAATTGCCTGACCCCAGGAGGGAGAGGTTGCGGTGAGCCGAGATCGCGCCATTGTACTCCAGCCTGGGTAACAAGAGCGAAACTCCATCTCAAAAAAAAAAAGTGTGGCCCCTCCAATGGGAAAAGCAGGGCAGGGGACTCAACCCTTGTGGCTGCTGTAGGTGATCCAGGCTTGCCTGGCAGGGTGTGGGGTGGCAGACACTGCCTTGTCCCCCACTCCTCCCGATGGGTCACGGTGGCCTTCCTGCAGGGCATGACTCTGGCCAAGGAGATCCGAGACCAGGAGCGAGGAGGGCGCACCTACGTAGGTGTGGTGGATGGAGAGAATGAATCGGCATCTCCGCAGCTGATGGAGGTGATGAACTACGTGCTGGGCAAGCGCCGTGAGCTGAAGGCAGCTGTGCCGGACACGGTGGTGGAGCCGGCACTCAAGGCCGCACTCAAGCTGTACCAGTGAGCACCCAGCGGGATCTTCCTGGGTGCTGGGGACTCCCCGGGGGCAGGTGCCCTGGCTGAGGGGCATGGGTGCCCTCCACATCTATGCCTTGCTTCTGTCCTGCAGTGTGTCTGACTCTGAGGGGAATCTGGTGATGAGGGAAGTCGCCACGCAGCCGCTGACGCAGAACCTGCTCAATCATGAGGTGAGAGGGTCTGGAGACCCCCAGCCCACTGCAGCCTGGCCCCCTCTCCCTCAAGGAGAAGAATTCCAGGGGGGTGGGGTGGGCGTGGGAGGGAGAGACTTTTGTGTGTGTGAGGCTGTCCCAGTCCAGCACTTCCAGCTCCATCAGACTCTTAACCTCTCCTGACTCTAGGACTGTTACATCCTGGACCAGGGGGGCCTGAAGATCTACGTGTGGAAGGGGAAGAAAGCCAATGAGCAGGAGAAGAAAGGAGCCATGAACTATGCGCTGGTAGGGGTGGGGGCCCAGGAGGAGGGCAGAGTGATGGGAGAGAGAACAGCATGGGGTGGGCAAGCAGACTCAGACCAGGGCACAGTGCCAGGCAGAGGCAGGGCAGGCTGGGAGGGGCAGGATGGGGGCTGGGCACGGCCCAATGGGAGGAGCTGAGGGACCATTCTATAGTCATCATGGGGGTTTTCTGCACGCCAGGGAGCCAACCACCAGGCAACCATGGGGCCACTGCAAGATGTGGTCTCTGACCTCCCTGCACCTGAGCTGGGTTTAGAGAAGGGAAGGAGAGCCGACACAGTGGCTCACACCTGTGATCCCAGCACTTTGGGAGGCCGAGGTGGGTGGATCACGAGGTCAGAGCTTGAGACCAGCCTGGCCAATATGGCAAAACCCTGTCTCTACTAAAAATACAAAAATTAGCTGGGCGTGGTGGCAGACACCTATAGTCCCAGCTACTCAGGAGACTGAGGCAGGAGAGAATCGCTTGAACCCGGGAGGCAGAGGTTGCAGTGAGCTGAGATCAAGTCACTGCACTCCAGCCTGGGTGACAGAGTAAGACGCCATCTCAAAAAAAAAAAAAAAAAAAAAAAAAAGAAAGGAAGGGAAGGAGAAATGAAGGAAGGCTGGCTTCCTACAAAAGAGGATTTGATCAGCTCAGACGAGGGCCAAGTCAGAGTTTGGGGTCATTGCTGGGGCTAGAGTTGTAACCCTAACTGGCTTGGGGCCAGTGTTAGATAGGGGACTGGGTATTAGGGTTAGCATGAGGTAGGGTCACGCTAGGAGTTAGATTTGGCTTTGGGATTGAAGTCAGCGTTGGGTTTGGGTATTAGATTGAGGTCACAGTGAGGCTTGAGGCCAGTGTTAGGTTTCACGGGGTATCAGGTTTGACCTTGATGTTGGGGTCAGAGTAGGTTCGGGATTAGCATTGGCACTGGGTTTGGGTTCAGATTTGGTACCAGGAGTAGATCTGATGGTGGGTCTGGTTGGGGTTAGAGCCAGGTTTTGGCTTGCATTGGGAGTGGGGACCAGGGGAGGGGCCTAGCTTCCAGCCACCCATTTCTCTTCCCAGAACTTCATCAAAGCCAAGCAGTACCCGCCAAGCACACAGGTGGAGGTGCAAAATGACGGGGCAGAGTCGGCCGTCTTTCAGCAGCTCTTCCAGAAGTGGACCGTGCCCAACCGGACCTCAGGCCTGGGCAAAACCCACACTGTGGGCTCCGTGGGTGAGGGCCAGGCGGGGGCAGTGAGGGAGCCAGGATCCAGGGGCTAGGCCAGGAGAGCCACTTGGTCCAGCGCCTACTGTCCTTCCCCGACATGCATCTTCCACAAAGACTCTTATGCTGGCTCTGAGCTTATCCCAGTGGGTTGGGACATGGACAAACTCCAGTTGTCACAAAAAGGGAGCTGAGAGCGTCGGGCACAGTGGTGCATGCCTGTGATCCCAGCACTTTGGGAAGCCGAGGCGGGTGGATCACCTGAGGTCAGGATCCAGACCAGCCTAACAAGGCGAAACCCCATCTCTATGAAATACAAAAAAAAAAAAAAAAAAAAAAAAAAAAAAAAAAGTGAAGTGTGGTGGCGCATGCCATGCCTGTAATCCCAGCTACTCGGGAGGCTGAGGCAGGAGAATCGCTTGAATTTAGGAGGCGAAGGTTGCAGGGAGCTGAGATTGTGCCATTGCACTCCAGCCTGGGCAACAAGAGTGAAACTCCATCTCAAAAAAAAAAAAAAAATCAGGGGAGCTGAGAGTGATGTTTTATTTGGGATGGGGTTGGGCCTCCCTGGAAACCAAATAGCTTCAGCCTCTTACCAGCCAGTATTTGCTGAGAGCAAGCTTGGTGCCTGGCAGCTGGGAGAGGAGGAACGAAAATGTGTAGCCCTTATCATCACAGAGCTGCCTCCTGAGCTGGGAGACAAGGTCAAGGCTTGAAGTCTGAATGCTGCAGGGGTCAGGACGGAGTAGGTAGTAAAGCCACAGCCTTGCTCTTGTGCCTCTCCTGGCTCCCTGGGAGGCACTGAGGAAGCAGGAATCCGAGAAGCAGGGAAATACGGTTCTCTACTGTAGCCGTGGCACATTCTATGCAACCAGGTAAACTACTGAATCGCTCTTGCTTCGGTTTCCTCATCTGAAAATGCGTCTAAGAATTGTAGCCGCCTTGCCGGGCGCGGTGGCTCAAGCCTGTAATCCCAGCGCTTTGGGAGGCCGAGGCGGGTGGATCACGAGGTCAAGAGATCGAGACCATCCCGGTCAACATAGTGAAACCCCGTCTCTACTAAAAATACAAAAAATTAGCTGGGCGTGGTGGCGCGTGCCTGTAATCCCAGCTACTCAGGAGGCTGAGGCAGGAGAATTGCCTGAGCCCAGGAGGCGGAGGTTGCGGTGAGCCGAGATGGCTCCATTGCACTCCAGCCTGGGTAACAAGAGCGAAACTCCGTCTCAAAAAAAAAAAAAAAAAAAAAGAATTGTAGCCGCCATTCAGGGCTGTTGTGAGGACCTGAGGGACCTCTGCTGGTGACAATGGGCGTCATGATTTCTCCCACTCTAGCCAAGGTGGAGCAGGTGAAGTTCGATGCCTCGTCCATGCACGTCCAGCCTCAGGTGGCTGCCCAGCAGAAGATGGTGGATGATGGGAGTGGGGACGTGCAGGTATGTCGGGGCAGAGAGGCCCGTGCTGGGTGGAGCAGGGATGGTGGAGCCTGTTCTGGACCTCACCCTGGCCTGATACTGGCCCCAGGTGTGGCGCATTGAGGACCTAGAGCTGGCACCTGTGGATTCCAAGTGGCTAGGCCACTTCTACGGGGGCGATTGCTACCTGCTGCTCTACACCTACCTCATCGGCGAGAAGCAGCACTACCTACTTTACATCTGGCAGGTCAGGTCCCGCCCTGTCCTACCTAGAGCACAGCTGGCTTAGCTCCACCTTGTACATACTCCTGCTAAGTGGCCATCACCCTTGGGTTGAATTCCTCTGGGGATGGGGAGCTCACCCCTTCAAGATGGACTGCTTTGGCTACGAGGGCCCACTAGTACCCCATTCACAGCCCTTTTCCTTTTGGCTCTGTGAGTCTCCCTTCCAATTTTAATTGCCTTCTGCACATTCTTGTCACCTGCTCTGCCCGTGGGTTTTTGTGTCTAGATGGGAGGGAGCGGGTAGGTGCTGGGAGTGAGGGGTGTGGGGCCTGTGATGCTTCCTTGAGGGAGGAGCAGAAAGGAGAGGAGGAAGTTCGGGGTCAAGGCTGTGGTTGCAGGTAGGCCAGGGCTGGGCTGGGTCTGGGAAAGAATTAGGTTTGAGGTTGAGGTCAGAACTGAGGTCTGGGTCAGATCAGGGTTGTGGCTGTTTCACAGCGGAGTTTGGTGGGGAGGACAATTGGGTTTGGAACCAGATTAGAATTGGGGATGAAGTTGTTGCTGAGGCTGAGGATGGGGTCAGAATTGGGGGCTGACCCTATCCCACTCACTGCCTCCTGCTCATCCCCAGGGTGCCCAGGCCAGCCAAGATGAAATTGCAGCATCGGCTTATCAAGCCGTCATCCTTGACCAGAAGTACAATGGTGAACCAGTCCAGATCCGGGTCCCAATGGGCAAGGAGCCGCCTCATCTTATGTCCATCTTCAAGGGACGCATGGTTGTCTATCAGGTATGGCTCCTGAACTGAGGCGAGACAGGCATCCAGGAGATGGGGAAGGGGATGGGTGGTGAAGGCAGGGCTTGGGGTGAAGCCTGTTCTTCGTAGGAGACTACCCTGGAGGCTTCTATCACCTATGTGTAACTGGTAATAGAAACAACCCATTTGGTTACTTTAGAAATATGTGTAATTGAGCCGGGTGCAGTGGCTCACGTCTGTAATCCCAGCACTTTCGGAGACTGAGGTGGGTGAATCACCTGAGGCCAGGAGTTCAAGACCAGCTTAGCCAACATGGTGAAACCCCCGTCTCTACAAAAACACAAAAATTAGCCGGGCATGATGGCTGGTGCCTGTAATCTCAGCTACCGAGATCATGCCATTGCTCTCCAGCCTAGGTGACAGAGTGAGACTCCATCTCAAAAAGATAAATCATATATATATATACACACGTGTATATATTACGTATATATATACATATACGTATATATACATATATGTATGTGTATATATGCACGTGTGTATATATACATATGTGTGTATAATGTGTGTATATACATATATGTATATATACATGTGTATGTATATATATAGGTATACATACACATATATACGTATTTACGTGTATACGTGTATATATATGTATATATGTGTATACATACACGTATATATATACATATACACATATATATGTGTGTGTATATATATCTATGGCCAGGCACAGTGGCTCACACCTATAATCCCAGCATTTTGAGAAGCCGAGGTGGGTGGGCCACCTGAGGTCAGGAGTTCAAGACCAGTTTGACCAACATGGTAAAACCCTGTCTCTATTAAATACAAAAATTAGCCAGGCGTGGTGGCGCATGTCTGTAATCCCAGCTACTTGGGAGGCTGAGGCAGGAGAACTACTTGAACCCGGGAGGTGGAGGTGGCAGTGAGCTGAGATTGTGCCACTGCACTCCAGCCTGAGCAACAAGAATGAAACTCCGAGAGAGAGAGAGAGAGAGAGAGAGAGAGAGAGAGAGAGAGAGAGAGAAGGGAGGGAGGAAGGAGGAAGGAAGGAAGATGTGTAATGAGCATTCACCATGTGCAAGTACTGCCTGCCCTCTACACTCCAACTCCTTAAATCCTTTACATAAAAAAGAAGATATTTTGGCTAGATTTGCCTAAATGATGCACCTGTGCAAACTGCATTGGTACCTTCCAACAAAATGAAATAGACATCTAATGCAACTATTTAAGGAAGAATCTGCCTATTGAGCACCTGAAACACACCGTCCTTTGCAAGTCCCCAAGCAAGGAGAACGGCACGTTAATACGGTTTATCATCTTGTTGGCTGGAGTACAATAATCTGGGAATGCCGTAGAGTTTATGGGCAGGAGGGGAATTGGAGGAGACATTTGTCTTGACATTTGGGTCAGAGTTGAGGAGTTTAGCAGAGGTAAATGGAGGGCATGCAATGCAGGGGCACAGCAAGGACAGGGACCCGGGGAGAGGCTCCATGGGGAACGTCAGAAGCCTGATGGAGCTGCCTGGGTGCGGGGCTAACACCTGTATTCCCAGCACTTTGGGAGGCGGAGGCAGGTGGATCTCCTGCGGTCAGGAGTTTGAGACCAGCCTGGTCAACATGGTGAACCCTGAACCCCCGTCTGTACTAAAGATACAAAAATTAGCCAGGCGTAGTGGCACACACCTGTAGTCCCAGGTACTTGGGAGGCTGAGGCAGGAAAATTGCTTGAACCTGGGAGGCAGTGAGCCAAGATCACACCATTGCACTCCAGCCTGGGCAACAGAGCAAGATTTTTGTCTTTAAAAAAAGCCTGGCAAAGCTAAGCTGGAGGGTGGCAGCAGCAATGTCTGCAAAGGCAGTCTGCATCTTCGTCCTGCGGGGGCCTTCGAAGGCACCGCTGGGGAGCTGGGCTTTAGGGTATAAGCAATGGGGACTCACTGAATGTTTTTGAGCAGAGAATCACCATGATACGAGCAATGTTTTAGAAAGACCTGATGACGGAGCATCAGAGGAGCTGCCGGGCAGGCTGCCCCGCCCTACCCTCTCCCTCTCGGGTTCTTTGTTCCCCTCTGTTCCCTCATCATCATCTTTACTAAGTGACTCCTGTCTCTCTCCCTGCCTTCTCCCCTCACTTGCAGGGAGGCACCTCCCGAGGTTACAACCTGGAGTCTGGGCCCTCCACACGGCTGTTCCAGGTCCAGGGAACCAGAGCCAACAACACCAAGGCCTTTGAGGTCTCAGCGCGGGCCAGTTCCCTCAATTCCAATGATGTCTTTGTCCTCAAGACGCAGTCCTGCTGCTACCTATGGTGTGGGAAGGTGTGTTCAGGGCCTGGAGGCCTCCCCATCCCTAAGTGGGTCCTGGGAGTCCCCCAGTTATACAGCAGTCCTCGGTATTCGTACAGAGATTCTCCTTTAATCTCTGTAAGAACAACGCACTGCCTCTTAGAGTCCCTTGGCCACCCTTGAAAGACTCTCTAGTTTTCTCTGCTATTCTCTGGAATGTTAAGGACAGAGGAGAGCATGGAATTGTCCCTGTGTGCCCTATATACACAGGGTGGGTCCTGACCCAGGCGAGCCTTCTTAGACCCCGGAACTCTGGGCGGTGAATGTGGTAGGAGGGTGGAGGTAAGGGCAGCACTAGAAATTGGCCAACCCCTTTGTTTTCCCAGGGCTGTAGTGGAGACGAGCGGGAGATGGCCAAGATGGTTGCTGACACCATCTCCCGGACAGAGAAGCAAGTGGTGGTGGAAGGGCAGGAGCCAGCCAACTTCTGGATGGCCCTGGGCGGGAAGGCTCCCTATGCCAACACCAAGAGGTAACTCCCAGGTCCCCCCGCCTCCAGGTTACCAAGGTGGGGGAGCCTCCAGCACCACTATCCCCATACCCAGAGCCCACAGCAGGCATGGACTGAGGACTCTATGTCAGGCACTGTGCCAGGCCTCCAGGGCTACAAGATGAATAAAGGCTAACCCACGCCCTTGGAGCCCCTTGGCACAGGGGCTGTGTCTGTACTGCTCACTACAGTATGCCCAGGACCTGGTGGGGTTTTCCTTGGCAAAGGGAATTCATGGCCATAGGAGGCAGCTCAAAGAGAGGGGCAGGGCTACAGGTTTGCCTTTCGGTAAGAAGGTGCCAGAGCCCAGCCTGCCTTTAGGTCTTGAGACAGGCCTGGGATGCTGAGGAGCACAAGCCACAAGCCCTCTTTCAAAAAGTTTTGTTTTGTTGTGTTTTTATGACAGAGTCTAGCTCTGTCGCCCAGGCTGGAGTGCAGTGGCGCAATCTCAGCTCACTGCAGCTTCTGCCTCCCGGGTTCCAGCAATTCTCCTGCCCCAGCCTCCTGGGTAACTGGGATTACAGGTGCCTACCACCATGCCTGGGTAATTTTCGTATTTTTGGTTTTTTTCTTTTCTTTTAAAGATGGGGTTTCACTATGTTGGTCAGGCTGGTCTTGAACTCCCAACCTCAGGTGATCCACCCACCTTGGCCTCCAAAGCGCTTGTATTACAGGCGTGAGCTACCACACCTGGCCCAATTTTTGTATTTTTAGTAGAGACAGAGTTTCACCATGTTGGTCAGGCTGGTCTTGAACTCCTGACCTCAGGTAATCCACCTACCACAGACTCCCAAAGTGCTAGGATTACAGGCAGGAGTCACTGTGCCTGGTCCGATCTCGGCTTACTGCAGCCTCTGCCTCCCAGGTTCAAGCAATTCTCCTGCCTCAGCCTCCCGAGTAGCTGGAATTATAGGTGTGCCCCACCACGCCCAGCTAATTTTTGTATTTTTAGTAGAGACGGGGTTTCACCCTGTTGGCAGGACGGTCTCCATCTCTTGACCTTGTGATCTGCCCACCTCAGCCTCCCAAAGTGCTGGGATTACAAGCGTGAGCCACCTTGCCCGGCCTCAAGTGGTTTTTCTAGAGAATATCCATGATCCACTAGTCCCTAGTTCAAAAGCAAAAGGGCTTGTACTGCCGTAGCAGCAGGAGGGATGGAGGGAAGACATCAGGAAGAACTTCCTAACAAGGCTCTGCAAAAGCCACTGAAATGCATGTCCAGAAAGCAGTGGGAATTTCTCCCTCAGAGCACTCTTGGAATGAGAGGGGACCCTTTTGTCAATCAGAAGACTGGGCATTTTGCTGGAGATGGCCTTTCCACGCCCGAGTCCCTCCCTCAGAGTTCTGTGTCCTCGATTCTCCTTTGCCACACCTCCCTTCTGCCAGTACAATCTTCTCTCCATCCTGCAGACTACAGGAAGAAAACCTGGTCATCACCCCCCGGCTCTTTGAATGTTCCAACCAGACCGGGCGCTTCCTGGCCACAGAGATCCCCGACTTCAATCAGGACGACTTGGAAGAGGATGATGTGTTCCTACTAGATGTCTGGGACCAGGTAGGACTGAGGGCCTGGGCACCCCCCTTTCCCAGCCACCTCAATCTCCAGGGCCAAAAAAGAGTGGCTTTAGGGTTAGATAAGTGTGAACATTTTCTTGGCCCTCATGTAATTTCTGCCTGGAAATGGTATTATGAACGCCAGGAGCATAAGAAAGAAGGGAGGTAGGGAGGAACGTACTCAGAGGGGCTGCAGGGAAGAATGCATTCTCTCCCAAAGTCCTATTAACTTCACATGGCAGCAGGAGTGTTTTTGAGAATCCTGAGCTTTAGACAATCTAGGAGTCACACATTTGCAGAATATCCAAGTACAAGTCATCTGTCCAACCTCATAATTTCCCAGATACAAATTCAAGGCCAGTTGGTGCCTGCCCTAGGTCATTTGGCTGGTAGTGGTAGAGTCAGGGTCAGGGTCAGGGTCAGGGTCAGGGTCAGGGCTTCACTGTTGGACAACTGAGGCAGATCCCTGGAGGCCAGGGAAGACAGGAAGGACGGTCTGACTTCCTGGGTTTCTCAACAGGTCTTCTTCTGGATTGGGAAACATGCCAACGAGGAGGAGAAGGCGGCTGCAGCAACCACAGTGCAGGAATACCTCAAGACCCATCCCAGCGGGCGTGACCCCGAGACCCCCATCATTGTGGTGAAGCAGGGACACGAGCCCCCCACCTTCACAGGCTGGTTCCTGGCTTGGGATCCCTTCAAGTGGAGTGTGAGTGGCCTCATCCCAGCACGTCCTGCTCTAGCCTTGCCTGGAGAGCAGGCTGACTCCCCAAGGCCTCTCTGTCCCTTGGGGACATACGACCTGCTGATTTAGAAAGTGGTCAGAGGAGGCTTCGAATAGAAAGTAAGGCTGCATGAAGGCCGTTAGGCTTCCTGGTGAGGGAGAGGGAAGAAGTCTATCAAAAACCAAGACTAATTATAGTGCCTTGTTTGCATGCTACATTTAGAGTGAAGCTGCTGGATAGTATAGGTAAGAAACGTGGCCGGGCGCGGTGGCTCAAGCCTGTAATCCCAGCACTTTGGGAGGCCGAGGCGGGTGGATCACGAGGTCGAGAGATCGAGACCATCCTGGTCAACATGGTGAAACCCCGTCTCTACTAAAAATACAAAAAATTAGCTGGGCATGGTGGCACATGCCTGTAATCCCAGCTACTCAGGAGGCTGAGGCAGGAGAATTGCTTGAACCCAGGAGGCGGAGGTTGCGGTGAGCCGAGATCGCACATTGCACTCCAGCCTGGGTAACAAGAGCGGAACTCCGTCTCAAAAAAAAAAAAAAAAAAAAAGAAACGTACCAATTACGTAAAATTAAACGCAGTTCAAAATTCAGTTTGTCACTAGCCACATGTGGCAGGCGGCTGCTGCGTCGGGCAGTGCGAGGAGAATGTTCTCATCGCAGCAACACGGCGGACCCTCAGTGCCAGCTGAAACACGTCGGTTCTAAAGAACTGACAAACGTCTTCCTGGTGCTAAATTCTAAGCGAAAAGCAAAATAGGTCATGTGTGTGGTCCTTCCCTGAGGGATGGTGTGCCAGGCTCCCCCGGGGCATTTCTCAAGCTGGCTCCACACACAAGCAGGCGGCAGATCCTCCAAAAGGAACTCCAGCAAAGGTTTTCTGTTGGAAGAAGCCCAGAGTGAGGCCTGGCCTGGTGGCTCTGGGTGCTCTAAATTGGCCTAACAGATGAGTTTAGGGATACAGAAAGCTTAATTTCCTTAAATCTGTTTTGTTGTTGTTGTTGTTGTTGTTTTTAATTTTAAATTCTGCAGTTAGATGGTCTGAATTTAAGTCTTTTTTTTTTTTTTTTTTTTTTTTTTTTGAGACGGAGTTTCGCTCTTGTTACCCAGGCTGGAGTGCAATGGCGCGATCTCGGCTCACCGCAACCTCCGCCTCCTGGGTTCAGGCAATTCTCCTGCCTCAGCCTCCTGAGTAGCTGGGATTACAGGCACGTGCCACCATACCCAGCTAATTTTTTGTATTTTTAGTAGAGACGGTGTTTCACCACGTTGACCAGGATGGTCTCGATCTCTCGACCTCGTGATCCACCTGCCTTGGCCTCCCAAAGTGCTGGGATTACAAGCTTGAGCCACCGCGCCCGGCCTGAATTTAAGTCTTGAGGATGGATTCAAACAATTCTCAAGACAGCAAATCGAGATGCCAGGTTTTCTCAGGCCACTTCAGTTATCACCCTTCCCTCACCTCCAGTGTGCGCTGGCTTCCTCCTCAGCCTCATTCATTCGTTCACTCATTCATTCAGCATAAGTGTGCTCCAGGATATGGAGATGGGACTCCTCAGAGAGCCCATGGTCCCTTCACTCCTCTGTGGCAGGGCTCCCTTGTAGAATCTGGGGAGACCCCACTGCCAGAAGCCCTCCATTCCCCGGAGCCTACATAGCCTAGGCAGGGTTCTCCACACTGCCTGTGGGTGCTTGCACCGGCCCAGGCAGATGGGAGCAGATCCTCCCCATCCCCACATCAGGCTGAGCTGGGACAAATACAGCCTGCCCTGCCCTTTTCTGATCTGGCAGCCCCTCTGGTCCCAACCTCACCATTTAATCTCCTTTTTCAGGGACCCTCCTCCAGACTCAGCCTAGTATCCTCTTTCGTTTCCTGAAGGCCTCAGACCAGCCTTCTTTCCATTCCTCAAGGAAAATGGCTTCTCATCCATCCCCTCTGCTGTGACCCAGCTCTAATCTGTTACTTACTTTATATGCAGAACACAAAATCCTATGAGGACCTGAAGGTGGAGCTCGGCAACTCTAGAGACTGGAGCCAGATCACTGCTGTGAGTCCGGGGCAGGGTGGCAGGGCCCTGCTGTGGCCAGCTGGTGGTCAGGCCTGTGGGAGCCAAGAATGCTGCAGAGAAGACACCAGTGTCCCGTGCTTTCCCTCCTGTTTCTCCCCACTTCTCTTTCTTCTTGCTGTTTGATTCCAGTGCCTCTAGTGGTTTTGTTTCCTCAATTTCCTAGTAAAATGATTCTTTTTTTTTTGAGACATAGTTTCACTCTGCCTCCCAGGCTGGAGTGCAGTGGTGATCTTGGCTCACTGCAACCTCCATCTCCAGGGTTCAAGTGAGTCTCATGCCTCAACCTCCCAAGTAGCTGGGATTACAGGTGCATGCCACCATACCCGGCTAATTTTTGTATTTTTAGTAAAGATGGGGTTTCACCATGTTGGCCAGGCTGGTCTTGTTCAAGATCAAGTGATCCACCTGCCTTGGCCTCCCAAAGTGCTGGGATTCCAGGCATGAACCACCAAACCCAGCCTGGTTCTCAAGTTTTATCATACATGGAGTCTGGGAGATGGAGGGCAGAGAGTGATGGGAAAGCATATTAAAATACAGATTCCAAGGCCCCGTTCCCAAAGATTCTGGTTTACAGACTTAGGGTTGACACCTAGGAACCTGCATCTTTTAAATCTTATTTTAAAAAGGTAATTTCATGTAGTCAATGGACTACACGTGAAGAAATAGAAATCACCACCCTTGGGGTCCCTTCTTGGTAGAATAACTGCAACTCCTTTGGTCTTTCAGTGAGTTAACAGAAATGTATTTAGGCCGGGTGTGGTGGCTCACACCTGTAATTCCAGCACTTTGGGAGGCAGAGGCGGGTGGCTTACTTGAGTCTAGGAGTTTGAGACTAGTCTTGGCAATATGGGGAAACCCCATCTTCATTTAAAAAAACCCAGCCAGGCGTGGTGTGTGCACCTGTGGTCCTAGCTACTGAAGAGGCTGAGGTAGGAGGTTGGTTTGAGCCCAGGAGGCAGAGGTTGCAGTGAACTGAAATTGTGCCACTGCATTCCAGCCTGGGCAATAGAGCCAGACCCCATCACAAAAAAACAACCCTCTTCCCCCAAAAAACCTGAAAAGAAATGTATTTAGCCTTTAGACCTTGGTTATGGGAATATGAAATCAAAACCTTTGCTTTGAGATGCTCACAGGCTTATAGAGGGAAGAAGACAGAGCTAACTCTGAGGAATGTGTCCAAAACTCAAGAACACGTTCACAAGCACACTGTGGTATAATCAACAGATGGTTGAAACCTGTGGCACTCACTAACCCCTTCTTGGTAGACTGACAGTGCACACTTGCATGTATAGATAGGTTAAGGTGAAGTGAATTTATTGATGACAGTTTCACAACAGATAAGAGAGACAGGGTCATAAATATCCAGGCTAGATCTCAAACTCTGGAGGAAGACATGGGGAAGTTAATGAGTCATTAAGAAAAGACTCATTTTCCACTAATGGACTTTGATCAGAACAGACCACTAAGCTCTATGTTGTGGGTTTTTTTGTTTTTGTTTTTTTGAGGAGTCTCTCTCTGCCACCCAGGCTGGAGTGTAGTGGTGCAATCTCAGCTCTCTGCAACGTCCACCTCCCAGGTTCAAATGATTCTCCTGCCTCAGCTAATCCTGAGTAGCTGGGATTACAGGTGCCTGCCACCATGCATAGCAAATTTTTGTATTTTTAGTGGAGACGAGGTTTCATCATGTTGGCCTGGCTGGTCTTGAACTCCTGACCTCAAGTGATCCATCCACCTCGGCTCCCAAAGTGTTGGGATTACAGGTGTGAGCCACCGTGCCTGGCCTATGTTGTGTTCTTATAAGTGTGTGTGTGGCAGGGTTGGGTGGGACATGGGAGGCTTCTTGAAGGTGGTGCCCTAGAATCAATGTTGACTTCAGACAGAAAGGCAGCCTGGGAGGTAGCTGCGCACCAGCTAAAGTAACCAATGGTTTCCTTTTCTTCCCTAGGAGATCACAAGCCCCAAAGTGGACGTGTTCAATGCTAACACCAACCTCAGTTCTGGGCCTCTGCCCATCTTCCCCCTGGAGAAGCTAGTGAATAAGCCTGTAGAGGAGCTCCCTGAGGGTGTAGACCCCAGCAGGAAGGAGGTAGGTCAGACTCTCAAAGGAGGACAAAGAAATCCATTTGTTGGACCACCGTAGTTGATGCCCAGATTTGGCCCTGTAGGTAACTAGGTGCTGGGGATGCCCTGGTAAACAAGACAGATGAGATTCTGCCTTCATGCCAGCTTACCTCCCAGGAGGAGAGAGACCAGAGAAGCCTGGTTCCACTATGATTTAATTTCAGGGTTAAGTGCCAGAAAGGTGAAGTATAGGAGCTGTGAAGGTATTACAAACAAGGCTGGGTGTGGTGGCTCATGCTTATAATCCCAGCACTTTGGGAGGCGGAGGCAGGTGGATCACCTGAGGTCAGGAGTTCAAGACAAGACTGACCAATATGGTGAAACCCCATCTCTACTAAAAATACAAAAATTAGCCAGGCTTGGTGGCACATGCCAATAATCCCAGCTAGTTGGGAGGCTGAGACACAAGAATTTCTTGAACCCAGGAGGTGGAGTAAGACTGTCTCAAAAAAAAAAAAAAAAAAAAAAAAAAGGATTACAAGCAGGAGCCTGATGTAGTCGGATTTCCTTCTGAAAGGTGAATAGGAATTATTGAGGCAATGTAAGTTATTTTTGGACAGGGACCTGAAGGGACAGCTAACATGAAGCCCAAAGGCAGGGAATAAACATGGGGGCAAAATTGCAAGATGGCCAGAGTGGCTGCAGTGTGCAGAGCCAGGGAGGGAGGCCAGGCTGAACTGGCAGTGCCTTCTACCCCAAGTTAAGGATCCTATCATGTATCCTGACAGTGAAGGGGAATCATAATGGTTGAAATAGCAGAGCGACAGATTTACATTAAAAAAAAAAAAATTAGCCGGGTGCGGTGGCTCAAGCCTGTAATCCTAGCACTTTGGGAGGCCGAGGCGGGTGGATCACGAGGTCGAGAGATCGAGACCATCCTGGTCAACATGGTGAAACCCCGTCTCTACTAAAAATACAAAAAAAACTAGCTGGGCGTGGTGGCGCGTGCCTGTAATCCCAGCTACTCAGGAGGCTGAGGCAGGAGAATTGCCTGAGCCCAGGAGGCGGAGGTTGCGGTGAGCCGAGATCGCGCCATTGCACTCCAGCCTGGGTAACAAGAGCGAAACTCCGTCTCAAAAAAAAAAAAAAAAAAAAATTACTGTCTGGGTGTGGTGGCTCAGGCCTGTAATCCCAGCACTTTGAGAGGCTGAGGTGGGTGGATCACCTGAGGTCAGGAGTTCAAGACCAGCCTGGCCAACATGGTGAAACCATGTCTCTACTAAAATTATAAAAATAGCTGGGTGTGGTGGCACGTGCTTGTAATCACAGCTACTTGGGAGGCTGAGGCAGGAAAATCACTTGAACTCGGGAGGTGGAGGTTGCAATGGGCCGAGATTGTGCCATTGTACTCCAGCCTGGGTGACAAGAGTAAAACTCCATCTCAAAGTTAAAAAAAACATTATAGCTGCTCATTCAACAATAGTCTGGAAGGTGGCAAGAGCAGCCATAGGAACACCAGTTAGGAGAGAAGCATAGCTGCTCCCAGGCCGACTGGTAGGTGGGAACCTAGAACAGGTCATAGTGGAGGAGGTGGAGAGAAACATTTAGGAGGTAAAATCAATGATATTTGGTAATTACTGGATAAAGAGTGTGAGAGGGCAGAAAGTAGCATCATTCTCCAAGACAGAAAACAGGATCAGGCTGAGCTCAGGGGAAGATGATCATGAGTTCAGTGGTAGCTACCTCCTTTGAGGTTTAGATACACGTTCAGTGGACAGGCAATTCAGAGGAACACCATGGCAGAGATATAAATTTAAGACTCATCAGCAAAAAAAAAAAAGAAAAAAAAAAAGGACTCATCAGCACATGGTCCATCTGGTAACTGTGGTTAGCACAGCAAGAATTTGTTCAAAACACTTTGAATGTGTGGGGAATGGAGGTTGGGGCTAGACACTTTTCTTTTTTTTGAGATTAGGGTCTTGCTTTGTTGTCCAGGCCGAGTGCAGTTGCAGTCTTGGCTTACTGCAGCCTCAACTTCCTGGGCTCAGCCTCCCAAAGTGTTGGAATTTCAGATGTGAGCCACTGCACCCAGCCTAAGAACACATTTCTTTCTTTCTTTCTTTTTTTATTTTGAGAAGGAGTTTCGTTCTTGTTACCCAGGCTGGAGTGCAATGGCGCGATCTCGGCTCACCGCAACCTCCGCCTCCTGGGTTCAGGCAGGAACCTGCCTCAGCCTCCTGAGTGGCTGGGATTACGGGCACGTGCCACCATGCCCAGCTAATTTTTTGTATTTTTAGGAGAGACGGGGTTTCACCATGTTGACCAGGATGGTCTCAATCTCTTGACCTTGTGACCCATCCACCTCGGCCTCCCAAAGTGCTGGGATTACAGGCTTGAGCCACCGCGCCCGGCCCCCAGAACACATTTCTAATACTCATTGCCACTTCATGAAGCTCCACAATAGACTGCCAATCTAGTTTAGGGGTATTGAGTGGAGAGATAACATACTCTGTATGATAAGTCAAAAGTAGTCTTACAAATGAATCGAGAGATCTACAGAAGAGAGATACTTAGTGTCTCTCTCAGAAAGTCTGCTAAGGGTTTCGTCTCAATATTTGTATAAGTGTTTTGTTCCCAGAGAATTTCAATCCTGCCTTTTACTTTAGAGAGCACATTCCTATGTTCTCTCCTGGATTCTCCCATCTGTGAAGTTGCTAGGAGGGTAGGAGGCACATGTGTCTTCACGGTAACAGTGGGATGATGATCCCGGTACAATGATGAGCTAAGCCCAGCCTTGGTATGTAGTATTCAGCAAATGAAAACTGTTATTATTGCCTGTTCTCTACCTGAGAAAACTGAGGTCCAGAGAGATGAACTGACTTGCCTAATGTTACCAGTTAGTTGCAAAGCCAGAGCAAGAACCAGGCCTTCGGAGTCCCACTGTTACCATCATGCTATGCAGCACAAAGGAGGTATTTTTTTTTTTTTTTTTTTTTTGAGATGGAGTCTCATTTTGTCACCCAGGCTGGTGTGCAGTGGCACGATCTTGGCTCACTGCAAACTCCACCTCCCTGATTCAAGCAATTCTCCTGTCTCAACCTCCCAAGTAGCTGAGATTACATGCCTGGCTATTTTTTTTTTTTTTAATTTTCGGTAGAGACAACGTTTCACCAGATTGGTCAGGCTGGTCTCAAACTCCTGACCTCAGTGATCCACCCACCTCCACCTCCCAAAGTGCCGGGATTACAGGTGTGAGCCACTGTGCCTGGACTGTGGCTGATTTTTTAATCATGGAAGTAGTATATATTCTTGTGGGAGAGCTGAGTTTTTAGTGTCACATAGGGAGTGTAGGAAAGGTTTTCAGACCTCTCTAGCTGCTCCACTCTTGCAAGGTGAACCAGTGACAACAGCGGGCTGGTAGGTCTGGCTGCAGGCAAAGCAAGATGATAATCTAAGTATTTGCGCACTGATGAGTAAACAACAGGGAGGCGGATGTGGGCATGGGTGTGGCTGGTAATCAGCTGGCAGGACTGCAGGGTTCAAGAACAGGACCAGTGGAAAGACAAAAGTCCACTAGGATGGGTAGTCCCTGCTATCTAGCCTGAGGGGTCAGAGTCCAGTAGTCTTGACAAAGCTGAAGAGCCAGCCTGGCTGGACCAGAGAGAGTACAGACCCAGAACATAGCAGCCACAGCTGTGATGAAACTGGGGGGAGGGTGCTACATACAGATTTGGGGTATGGCAGCTGTTCCCCATCCACTGATGTCCAAATCATTCAAATTTACTCTCTCCTTCCAAAACCAACCATTCACTGAACGCGGTGGCTCATGACTGTAATCCCAGCACTTTGGGAGGCCAAAGCAGGCAGATTGTTTTGCTTGAGCCCAGGACTTTGAGACCAGCCTGGGAAACGAAGTGAGACACTGTCTACAAAAAAAATACAAAAATTAGCTTCGTGCGGTGGCCTGCATCTGTAGTCCAAGCTACCGGGGAGGCTGAGCTGGGAAGACTGCTTGAGCCCAGGAGACTGGGGCTGCAGGTGATCTGTGATCATGTCACCACACTCCAGCCTGGGTGACAGAGCGGGACCCTGTCTCAAACCCCCCCAAAACAAAATGAACCCCCAAACTAAAACCAGGCATTCCACTACCCTGCCTCGGGGAGTGAGGAAGGCTTCCAGGAACTTTAAGGAGAGAATGCCCAGGGTCAGAGGCAAATCTAATGCCAGTTTAGAGAACTGGAGCATCAGACATCCCTGAGCTTGAAATCCATCTATGGGTGTTTACTAAGAAGCTGTTCAATTCAGGGCTCTCTGTGGAAGTCAATAAAATATTCCCTAGGCCAACGTCATCTTAGCAGAGCAGCCTAAGTATTAAAGGAAACCCTCAGGTCTCACCTCTGCCGTTTACCTCTTGGTGCTTGGGGGAGCAGAGATGAAGGCTGGGAGATGCTGTTTTATAGCAACTTTAATGTGGGACTCTTAATTGAATGCGCCTTGAGGATATTTAGCTTGCTTTAAACAGTATCATTATCCTATCATCTTAGTGCTGGGAACAAAGGTCATTTCAGTGAATTTCTTCATCTTATGGCTGAAGATAACCAAGGCTTAGAAAAGTAGTGACTCCCAGTTGTGATTTCCAAGCCAAGAGTAAAAAGGTAAAACTGCTATCTAATCTTCTGGATCACTCGCAGGATGAGAGAAGCTGGTAGGAGTTGTTTATCCAAATATTTTTTCTGCTCAAATAGCTAGGCAACATTTAGTTTGGAATTTGTCCTTTGGCCTTCCTAGTGTCTTCTCTTGGACTCCTTCCCCCAACCTCAGTTGTACCTTCTGCTGCTACCCTCCCACTCTCTAAGCAAAACCTGCACCTACAAAATAATCTGACACATTCACAGAATATAAAAAACTGATGAGGTTTAACCAGTTGCTTATTTATTTTTGGCAGAGTCTCACTCTGTTGCCCAGGCTGGAGTACCGTGGTGTGATCTTGGGAGGTGGAGGTTGCAGTGAGCCGAGATTGTGCACCACTGCACTCCAGCCCGGGCAATAGAGTGAGACTCTGTCTGAAAAAATAAAGGAAAAAACGTTCCCCATTTAATAGAAAGGAAAACTAAGGTTTAGAAAGACTCCTAATATTTGGGCTAATGTGAACTTGACCCTAGTAGAAAAAAAACTCAATCTACCACACTGCTATCCTTTTCATTGTTAAAAATTCAGAGATCAGCCTGTAATCCCAATACTTTGGGAGGCCAAGGTGGGTGGATCACTTGACAGGAGTTCAAGACCAGCCTGGCCAACATGGTAAAACTCCATCTCTACTAAAAATACAAAAACTAGCCAGGCATGGTGGTGCGTGCGTGTAATCCCAGCTACTTGGCCTCCAGGCTGAGACAGGAGAATCTCTTGAAACTGGGAGGTGGAGGTTGCAGTGAGCTGAGTTTGTGCCATTGCACACCAGCCTGGGCAACAGAGCAAGACAGGGTCTCAAAAAATAAATAAATAGGCCGGGCGCGGTGGCTCAAGCCTGTAATCCCAGCACTTTGGGAGGCCGAGGCGGGTGGATCACGAGGTCAAGAGATCGAGACCATCCTGGTCAACACGGTGAAACCCCGTCTCTCCTAAAAATACAAAAAATTAGCTGGGCATGGTGGCGCGTGCCTATAATTCCAGCTACTCAGGAGGCTGAGGCAGGAGAATTGCCTGAACTCAGGAGGCGGAGGTTGCGGTGAGCCGAGATCGCACCATTGCACTCCAGCCTGGGTAACAAGAGCGACACTCTGTCTCAAAAAAAAAAATAAAAATAAAAATAAATAAATAAATAAATAAAAAATAATAAAAATTTAGGCTCAAACCTCTGGAATACCAAAATACCATAGTTGCCTCCTCTGCATCCCTTTCCTGGCTCTCCTGACATTGTTTTTTTTTTTTTTTTGAGGCGGAGTTTCCCTCTTGTTACCCAGGCTGGAGTGCAATGGCGCGATCTCGGCTCACCGCAACCTCCGCCTCCTGGGTTCAGGCAATTCTCCTGCCTCAGCCTCCTGAGTAGCTGGGATTACAGGCACACGCCACCATGCCCAGCTAATTTTTTGTATTTTTAGTAGAGACGGGGTTTCACTATGTTGACTAGGATGGTCTCGATCTCTTGACCTTGTGATCCACCCGCCTCGGCCTCCCAAAGTGCTGGGATTACAGGCTTGAGCCACCTCGCCCGCCGACATTGTTTGTTTTTACTCTGCATTTATTTGACTATATGCCACATCTATATGACTCATCAGCAAATGGGGCCTGGGAGTGAGGGAGAAGGGAAGGATATGTGACCTTTGCCCTCTGGGCCCTCTCCTCTTCTAGGAACATCTGTCTATTGAAGATTTCACTCAGGCTTTCGGGATGACTCCAACTGCCTTCTCTGCTCTGCCTCGATGGAAGCAACAAAACCTCAAGAAAGAAAAAGGACTATTTTGAGAAGAGAGGCTGTGGTTGTAAAGCAGCACCCTACCGTAATTGTGGGGTTATCACCGGTATTAGTCCTATACCAATTGAAGTGAAATTTTACAGTTGTGCCTACGAGCAAACTTCTATGGGCAAATGCCACTTTTTTTTTTTTTTTAAGCAATTTACCTATTCCTTCAGAAAGATGATATCCCAAAAGGAGCCTATGGTCCTCATTTCAGCTTCTAGGAAGGTCACTAGATTGTTTCTATCCTGAGGTGTTGCGTCATTTTTAATACTCCTATTCTAGAGCTTTCTCTTCTGAGAAAAGCAGGGAAACACTCCATGGAACATTAGAGTTCTGAGACACTACCTAGCTTGTCCTCTATCATGACTCATTTTTACCTATGGAAGGTAGGCTGAAGCATTTTGCAGGTTTACAACATCCCCGGAGTAACAGCTTTTCCTTTTCACATATACTTTCCTTACTGCCTTATTCAGTGGGTAAGTTAGAGGGTCGAAGGAGAGTTGAATGGGCCACAAGACTGCCCTCTTAGGAGGTTTCACAAATGCCAAACAGTACCCAGTGGGCAACACATCCACTAGGGCTAAGCTTGAGACCTAAAGGCAAGTATGAAATGCAATGCTATTTCACTCCTTCTCCCAACCCTTAATAATAAGGCAAAGGAAAAGCCTAGTGAAGGTCGATACTAGGTTTACAAACTTACCCAGAAGCCTCTGCAAAGCTTCACATACTCCTCAGATGAAAATAACAGGAATCAATGGTGACTATGGCCGAACACTGGTTTGCCATTCTGTTACCTTTAAGAAGTAACAGTGCTGCAAGGAATTCCAAGTCAGAAAGCCAACAGAAGGCAATTTCCACAACTTTGAACGGGTTGTTTTAAGTTATCAGCAAGAATGTGTCCTTTTCAGAAATAACAGTCCAATCAACAGAAGATTAATAAAGGCTTTAATTTCGTACACACAAAAAAAACCTCTATGCATAATTTAAAAAGGAAACAAAAACAAGGAAAAACCGTAAAGGATACAGAGGAACAGTTCTGCTAAAACACAGATAAAAGTGCCGCTCCATACAAAACATAAAGTATCAGAATCAAAAGTCACTCTGAACATAAAGGAAAAAAATCACCTCACAAGTAATGTGGCCACAGCTGCCAGCAAACCTGGTAGTGGCTCAATTAGGCAAAGTGTAGGAATCTCATTGTTTTTCTCTCTTTAAGTATAAAGAAACAACATTGACAATAGGCCAGAGAAGTTAGGGAGGGAAGGAAAAGCGCAGAGGGAGGAAAACCTGGGGACAAGAGGTGTGCACATCCACATGTGGTCTCACTCTTCACACAGGCCCACTATCTTTGAAACAGACCAGTTTAGTTGACTGCTCTTCTTTGTTCTGGCGTCTGACCAGGCAAACCTGTATCCTGGTCCAGACCCTCACCCACTCTTGTTCTTATGCCAATAGACATACCTATATTTTGAACCTCTGTACTTTTAAGAAAAGTCCAATGTTACAAAATCAAATGCTTACATTCAGACTGGCACACTTTTTAATAAAAACTCTGTACACCTCAGACTTACAGCACACATGGAAACAACTTACTAATTGTATATAAGTATGATACAATGAATGAGACTGCCTCAAGTCTAGTAATCAAAGCATGCCATAAGATGAATGATTGTGGTGAAAACACAGCAAAATAATTGTCACAAAACTCTCAAGTCCTAACAAACTAGTTTTCCAATAAAATAAAATTTTTCAAATGTTAATGACATATCAATAGAGACAAAATTAGAATTTTGAAGTAATGCAAGAGAAAGACTTTAGAGGGCAGAAGTCTATTTAATTATTGTATATACTTGTAAGAGTGCATTACCCAGTATAAAACAAAATAGGGAGGAAAAAGACATCTATCCATTTTATTGGAACACATTTATGTGCCTTGCATCTGATGTTGGGTTGTTGATTTTCCCAAAAAATCTCCTATATATACAAAAATCCACATGTACTTGGAGATCCAGCTCTGTTTCCCCCGTTAAAAAGACCACCTGGGGGAGGGGTCAATTCAGTTAAAAAGGTCCCCCTGCACCCCAAAATGGGAGAGTATCCACTGCAGTCATTTCAGAGGGCAAAGGATATTTTTATTTGCTTTAATACAACCTCTTTTTAGTCGCTCACAAGTGAGTTTACAAACTACTTTTTTTCTCTTTAATTTAGGTGTTTGCAGATAATTTTCATTACACAACTGTATCTGTAGCTGTACATGTGTACAGTTAAATAACAGTAACTTTACACGATGTGGAAAAATAAATTCATGGATTATTTTGCTGAGGTTTTAAATTTTAAAGCCTGTTTCAGAATTTTACACTTGATCAAGGAGAAAACAAATGTGTGGTCTAACATTTGCTTTCTGTAGTTAACTGACTGATCTGTAAGTACCACTGCATTATGTCTTAAAATGTAAACACATTTACATTTGCTTTATTTGTTATTGAGCCTTTTAAGTTAGGCCCAGAATGAACAGACCACAGCAAGTAAACAAAACTTTTGGAATCAAAGTATTAACAGAAGATCAATTCATGGATTTGCTTATTATATCCTGCTGAGACAAAACTCATGAGTGTGCACACACATATGATATATCCCTATGAAACAGTCTAATCTTCTCATAGGCCTAAATTATAGTCATGGCTATTAAAGAAATTAACAGCATCCAGCCATGTGCAACTTTCCAACCTTTAGTAATATTAGGGGATTAAAATCAAATATGAAATTCAGCTTATTTTTCCTTTAAAATTCCAACAAAGATCAAAAGATTGTATCTAGAATTAATTGCTATCAAGTTCCAATTCAATGTCATTTAAAGTAATATAACCACACATTTGGTATTTTCAATAGGAAGGTGAATTAGGTATTGTGCAAACAGCCTGCAACGGAAGCACTCAGTCTTATCTAACTTGTCCCTTCTTGGCCCCAACATGCTAACTGCCCCATCCTCCAATAATGGGCAAACTGATCACACTGTGCAAAAAAATAATATATTATCTATTTATAATTTTAAAATATATACAGCCAGCTCAAAAAAACAAAAAACCCCATCAACATAGTCCAGCTGAAATCTCCACTGGTAGTCAAAGAAGTAAATTAAAGGAGTAAAAAAAGGAGAGGGCCACAAGAATGGACAGACATCAAGTAAAATTTGAGTCCCAAACATGCAAGTACATGAGCAGTGAGATAACTCATATGCTCCAATAACCTATTTTCTTTTCTTTTTTTTTTTTTTTGAGACGGAGTTTCGCTCTTGTTACCCAGGCTGGAGTGCAATGGCACGATCTTGGCTCACCGGAACCTCCGCCTCCTGGGTTCAGGCAATTCTCCTGCCTCAGCCTCCTGAGTAGCTGGGATTACAGGCACGCACCACCATGCCCAGCTAATTTTTGTATTTTAGTAGAGACGGGGTTTCACTATGTTGACCAGGATGGCCTTGATCTCTTGACCTCGTGATCCACCCGCCTCAGCCTCCCAAAGTGCTGGGATTACAGGCTTGAGCCATCGCGCCCGGCCAATAACCTATTTTCAACAACTCCTGCCCCAGACACGAAGATCAAATCAGGTTTCTGAGATAAGTGGATTTCTAAACCATATACACATGAAAGCTATGAAAGCAATTGAAATGAGGCTGCTTCATGAGGCAATCTAGACTTATGGCATATTTCTATTTTTCTCCATGTTTTAATGCAGCCCTTACTTTAAATCTTTCCCAATAATTTTTAACAGTGCCTCTCAAATGCAAAGACAGGTAAGATAATTAGTAACAAGCCAAAGAATTTTATCACCACTTCACTCATTTATGAGAACACCAGTTATTTTCAAGCAAAACCAAACCAAACCAAACCAAACCAAACCAAACCAAACCAAAAGAGGCTCCTGGTAGACATGAAACAAAATTTTAAAGCAATTTTTTTTTTTTTTTTTGAGATGGAGTTTTGCTCTTGTTACCCAGGCTGGAGTGCAATGGCACGATCTTGGCTCCTGCAACCTCCGCCTCCTGGGTTCAGGCAATTCTCCTGCCTTAGCCTCCTGAGTAGCTGGGATTACAGGCACGTGCCACCATGCCCAGCTAATTTTTTTTTTTTTTTTTTTTAGTAGAGACGGGGTTTCACCATGTTGACCAGGATGGTCTCGATCTCTTGACCTCGTGATCCACCCACCTCGGCCTCCCAAAGTGCTGGGATTAAAGGCTTGAGCCACCGCGCCCGGCCTAAAGCTAGTTTTAAAACAAATATTTTCCTCTGCTCTGAACACCTCGGGCATTTTCTACCACACTACCATTTTGGAACATTCATCACAATAATGTATATAGGTAGATGGTAGGAGGCAAAGCATTTATCAGTAGTTAAGCAAAACTGCTGATGCCATTTATAATTCAAAGAATAAAAATTTAGAATAGGTCACTATGTAAGAATATATCCAAGTTTCAAGAGTAGGGCTGGAGCTCTCTTAAGACAATCTTTCAGAATAGATGTTGCACCTTCTGTGATGGTGGTTTGTGGTTTTGTTTTTTTTTTTTGAAATGGAGTCTCACTCTGTCACCCGGGCTGGAGTGCAATGGTGCAATATAGGCTCACTTCAACTTCTTCCTCCTGGGTTCAAGCAATTCTCTCATGTGATGGTGGGTTTTTAAATGCTTTTTTCCTTCTGAAAAGCTGATGTGGTTTTGTCCCTAACTCTGGGAACTAAAGAATAATCCCCTTCTTTATAACAAAAGAAAAAATATGAAAGAAAACAATGAAGGTTTCATTTTGCTATACTTAACTCTATGCGATCCTAATAATATCTGGGCTTATAAAATTATCTTATGGACAGAATTCCATCCTTAAAATAATTTTTTATATAGTTTCATAAGCTGCTTAACCAAGCTGGTTATGTCAGCTAAGTGACTAGCATAGCACTTAATGTTTCCCGCTCTACTTTGCCTCAACTTGAGCACCTAAAAAGTAGATAAATTAATTATGCACCTTTTGTTATTTGTTAGTTCTTGGGATTACCTAAGCCAATCACATTTTAATTGCGACCCTATTTTAAGGGCAAAGCCAGACAGTAAATGGTTAAATGATCAAGGTTTTCCTATAGCTCGAGTACTTAATTTCACACTTGCAACAGGATTTTTAGCTTCAGTGGTCCAGAATTTTAGTTTACCAGAAAAACACTCTTCTTATCCTCCTTATGTCTGAGAGGCAGAGATGCTAACATTCTTCCTTATCCCAAAGTATTCCTGCTGGGGAGTCCCAATTGGAGAAATATTATCTTTCCACCTGTTTAAAGTTTTGGTTGCAATCCATTAGGGTAATGCTGCTCGATGGAAGAATGACAAAAAATAAAAAAGAGTCTTATCTTCACCACCATAATAATGATGATACATGATGAACAATACTGTGTGAAGAAATTTCCTTAGAGAAAACACAAAGTATACAAGGAGTATCAAATGTGGGACTATAACACATTCCAAAGCACCAACAATCCATTTCTTGGGACTGCATGTAAACAGCAAAGACATCACAAATTCATGAAATTCACAAACAACAATGACAACAATAAAACACAGCTCCTCAAGTCAGGTGACACCAATGCCCCTCTTTTGCAAAGAGAACAAATGGTCATTAGTATAACATGAAGAGCTGGCTTTCCAGTGAACTTTACTAATAAGCAAACACACACAAAACATTACAGACTTGAGTGGAACTACTCAAGGAACATAAAAGCTAAAAGCTAACTGAAACTGATAAGCATATCTTGACACGTATCTCAGGTGAATGGACTCTCTGACACCTTCATTTCTTCTCCAAACTGCTGTGCTATTAATTTGAACAGGTATATTCTGGTGGCTCATCCTAACTCTTTAAGGCTCCATTCATCCTCTGTGTGTGTGTGTGTGTGTGTGTACACACATACACATATATTTTTACAACATGTGTGTGTGTACATATACACATATATATTTACAACATGTGCTCCTAAGACAAAAGGAAGTGCCACTCTTATAGGAGAAAAAAGATAATCAGCTACAAATGTGAGACCAAAGTTTCCATAAAATAGCATGGAGCATTCTTCGCAACTCCAATTTTTGTCTTTTGGTTTGGCCCTGAGCTGTTTGTTGCTCCCGCATCAAGTAGAATTCCAAATTCTCCTTCAGCAGAGGAAAGGTGAGGTGGGCAGCAGTAAGAAAAAATATGCAGTGCACACTGCCAACCCAGAAGTTTGTTCCTCACAAGGCCTGACGGGTAGTCTTCCCCACTTCCATGCTAAGTGTCTGAGAGTTCTTTTCTGTTTCCAGCAGCTCATCAAAGATCTCCCTTAAAATAAAATAAGCAAAAAATAAAACAGGAAATTTAGTAAGCAGAAGCAAAGAATAGGCAGGAGAAAAAGTAAAATTGATACAGATAAAGCCTTTATATTCCACTTCATGTCTGTATTTTATTAAATAAGCAGCTCATTTCATCTTAACCCTTTGAATGCTCATTTTTGAGAATAGAGGGGAACTGACAACAGTTGGCTTTAATGAACATACTATGTAATTCCCATCCATATAAATCAGATTTTCTAGCTGATAAAACTGGATGACTGAAAAGACTTATGATAGGACATCTTCTATCATAAAACAAACTGTCTTAACTTCCATACCTAGATACTACTGTGTAATGAGCAATTAAGGCTGAGTTATGAAAGAAAATATTCTAGACTTTCAAGGAAATGTCAAGAGATGGACCCTAACCAAAGATAACAAAAACCAAAAATTGTCAACCATCAACTGATGGGAAGATTTTATCCTCAAAGGAAAAAAAAAAAGTTCAGGTGATTTTTAACTCATTATTTCAAATCTGACAAAGTTTCTTACTTGTGCATATAAAAGAAGATGTAACCACTCCGATCTCGATCACTCTGCACAGCAGCCTCTTGGATTTTTGATACCTCCAGGTCATTGTAAGTAAACCACGCTTGCTTCTTAATGTCATACACATCACTAATGTAATGACCTGAAACAAATAACATCTTAAAATCAAGGTTTTTAAAAAATACTGAATTAAAAAAAATTTTTTTTTGAGAATTAGTCTCACTCTGTTGCCCAGGCTGGAGTGCAGTGGCACAATTTGGCTGACTGCAACCTCCGCCTCCCAGATTCAAGTGATTCTCCTTGCCTCAGCCTCCCGAGTAGCTGGGATTACAGGCATATGCCACCATGCCCAGCTAATTTTGTTTTATTTTTAGTAGAGATGGGGTTTCACCATGTTAGCCAGGATGGTCTTGATCTCTTGATCTCTTGATCTTGTGATTTGTCCACCTTGGCCTCCCAAAGTGCTAGGATTACAGGCATGAGCAACCACACCCGACCTAAAAACGCACTGAATTTATCTCAAGTATAGGAAATTTGAGAAAGAGAAAAAAAGCTACCGTATCCATCTTATCCTCAACACTGTGTCTAAAACCCACTGAGAAAACACATACAGGCCAGGAATAGTGGCTTACTCCTTTAATCCCAGCACTTTGGGAGGCCAAGGCAGGAGGACTGCTTGAGGCCAGGAATTTGAGACCAGCCTGGACAACAAAGCAAGAACCTATCCATACAAAAAAAATTTAAAAATTTAGCCAGGTGTGGTGGCATCCACCTGTAGTCTCAGCTACTCAGCATGCTCAGGTAGGAGGATCTCTTGAGCTCCTGAGCCCAGCAGTTCAATGCTGCAATGAGCTAACAATAGTGCCACTGAACTCCAGCCTGGTGACAGAGTGAGACCCTGTCTCTAGAAAAATAAAAAAAGAAAAAGAAAAAAATATATGTAAGTACACAGAGAATTAAGGAAGCATATACTACACTGGGACACTGTTTTTGATAAATGTATTGTGCTCAGAGGAATTTAGGTCACTTATGAATAGAGAAATCAAAACAGTTACAATTATTAACACAATTCACATTGAGTGTGATCAAAGTAGATTTCAAAGATTTTCTTGAAAAACTTGTACTTCAGGGGCTGGGTGCAGTGGCTCACATCTATTATCCCGGCACTTTGGGAGGCCGAGGTGGGTGGATCTCTTGATCGCAGAAGTTCAAGACCAGTCTGGCCAACATGGTGAAATCCTATCTCTACTAAAAATGCAATAATTAGCTGGGCGTGGTGGTGCATGCCTGTAATCTCAGCTACTTGGGAGGCTGAGATAGGAGAATCACTTGGACCCAGGAGGTGAAGGCTGCAGTGAGCCAAGATTGTGTCACTGCACTTCAGCCTGGGTGACAGAGCAAGACTGGGTCTCAAAAAAAAAAGAAAGAAAGAAAAGAAAAATATCCTTATGAAGCTAGGCAAAGAGCAATGTAATAAAGAGCAAATGTTGACTACTTCATTTATAAAATGCTGAAATCATGATGTATTCACCTGAAGAAGAAGTGCTACCAATGTGGCTGACAACACTGATGAGCCGGTAGGAATGAGGCAGATTTCCTGTCTGGAAAACAGAAGTGGGTATAACTTTTAAGTCTTCATTTGAATAAAAGTGAAACACTGAATATAAATTTATTAACAAAGCTGACACGGCTATGCCTTGGTGTGTGACATAGTAAGAATCAATTAAAAAATCAGTTCACACGCTTTGACTCAAGAATTCCACCCCCAACTAAGAAATTATTCTAAGGAAGTAAGTCAAAAGAAGAGTATATGTGTCAAATTATTTACTGTGGCATTATCTAGTGAAAAGTTGAAACTAACAATCTACCCAACAATAGCTGACTGGTTGGCATAACAATTCAATATAATAATGTTCAGTTATATAAAAACATTACATGGATCAGCAACATGTTAAGTTGCTTTTCAAACCCATATGAATGCACATAGTAACTATAGCTCTATCAAAAACAGTTATGTTAAGTAAGATTTGTTAGGCATTGGACAATACAATGAAAATATTAAAAGACCTGCTATGTTGCTGTAGGGATCAGAGTGAACTTTTACATTTTAAATATTATGAAAATGCAATTAAAACACAGTTGGTAAAATAAAGCAAAACTGAAAAGTGATATTCATGCACTGCAGACAGCACTACAAGGTAAAATTTGGGGAAGGAATATGGCTATACGTAAACCAGAAACTTAAAATGTTCATAAACTTCGATTTAGTAATTTACTTCTGGAAAATCTAAAAAATGAAACTCTAAACTATGGAAAATGAGGGCCAGGCACGGTGGCTCATGCCTGTAATCCCAGCACTTTGGGAGGCTGATCACCTGAAGTAAGAAGTCAGGAGTTCAAGACGAGCCTGAACATGGTGAAATCCTGTCTCAAAACAGTAACGACAACAACAAAAACTATGGAAAATGCATGAGTCAAAAGCACATGCCACTGTACTCCAGCTTGGGAGACAGAAACAGACCTTGACTTAAAAAAAAAAAAAAAGAACGAACGAAAAAGAGAACTCTGTGTTTGGCCAGGCACAGTGCCTCATACCTATAATCCCAACACTTTGGGAGGCAGAGATGGGCAGATCCCTTGAGGCCAGGAATTTGAGACCAGCCTGGCCAAAATGGTGAAATCCCATCTCTACCAAAAAAAAAAAAAAAAAAAAAAAAAAAGCTGGGCATGGCGGCTTGTGCCTGCAATCCCAGCTACTCGGGTGGCTGAGGCATGAGAATCGCTTGAGCCCAGGACGTGGAGGTTGCAGTGAGCTGACAGAGCAAGACTCTGCCTCAAAAAAATAAAAATAAAATACGGAAAACGCTACAAGCATACAGTTTTCCAACACATTATTATAGTGAAAAATTAGAAACAACTTAGACAAATATTCAATGTTAGCTAAAAATTAATAGAATATTCATTTGAGACAATATAGCATGGCCATTAAAAATAAGCTTATAAATAACTACTCTTTAAAAAACAGGATAACCTTGGTGTGGTGGTGTGTGCCTCCAGTTTGACATATGGAAGGCTAAGGCAGGAGAATCCCTTGAGCCCAGGAGTTTGAAGCCAGCCTGGGCAACACAGAGAGACTCTCACTCTAGAACAAAAAAAAAACAAATGGGATAAAAACTATACTTCTGACTTTTTAAAAAGCATACGCGTCAAAGTGCTGACAGCAATGTGTTTGGATAGTAGGATCCTGGATAATCAAAATTTGCAGGGGAAAAAGCAATTATTTAAGAGGCAAAAAAAAAAAAAAAAAAGAGTTCAATGTACCCTAATTAACATCACCAATTCAACAGTTTTCAGTGAGCAACAACAAACTGTTTTTGGTATTTAACTATGAAGATAATACACCTATTTGATGGAACTAAAGGTAATTTTATTTATTTTTTCTCGAGACAGAGTTTCACTCTTGTTGCCCAGGCTGGAGTAGAATGGTGTGATCTCAGCTCACTGGAACCTCCACCTCCCAGGTTCAGGTTCTCCTGTCTCAGCCTCCCAAGTGGCTGGGATTACAGGGGTGCGCCACCACACCTGGCTAATTTTTGCATTTTTAGTAGAGATGGGGTTTCACCATGCTGGTCAGACTGGTCTCGAATGTCTGACCTCAGATTACCTATCCGCCCCAGCCTCCCAAAGTGCTGGGATTACAGGTGTGAGCCACCGCGCCCAGCTAACTAAAAGTAATTTAATACACACATGACTTTACTGAGTTCTTATCAAACATGCATGTAAAGTGGCCAGGATGTATTCCTGGTTTTTTTGTTTTGTTTTGAATCTTGTATGTGAGAAATGAAGAGTAAATGCCAAGAGAAAATGAGACTATCTGATGGCTGCTGAAAGGGCAGAAATGAACTTGCAATGGACACTGAAAGTGAGGCCTTTGAATAAAGAGCAGGATTGACACTGAATCTGACCATCTATACTCAGGGATGAAAAAATTACCTCAGCATTTCTTTTCAGTTCCTCAGCTTCAGCTTCTGTATACTCCATATCAAAAACATCCTCATTTCCAGAGTCCTCATCAGAACCCAATGCGTCCACAAAGGAGTTGTTAAACTCTGAAGAATACAAAGACAAAATCTTATAAAAGTTCTTGGAATAGGCTGGGCATGGTGGCTCACACCTGTGATCCCAGCACTTTGGGAGGCCGAGGCAATTGGATCACCCGAGGTCAGGAGTTTGAGACCAGCCTGACCAACATGGTAAAACCCCGTCTCTACTTAAAATACGAAAATTAGCTAGGTGTGGCGGTGCATGCCTGTAATCCCAGCTGCTCAGGAGACTGATGCAGGAGAATCATGTGAACCTGGGAGGCAGAGGTTGCAGTGAGCTGAGATGGCACCACTGTGTTCTAGCCTGGGTGACAGAGTGAGACTTCATCTCAAAAAAAAAAAAAAAAAAAAAAAAAAAAAAAATTAGCCGGGCATGGCTGCTAATGCATGTAATCCCAGCTACTTGGGAGGCTGAGGCAGGAGAATTGCTTGAACCCAGGAGTGGAGGTTGCAGTGAGCAGAAATTGCACCATTGCACTCCAGCCTGGGAAACAAGAGCGAAACTCCGTTATCAAAAGAAAAAAAAAAAAGTTCTTAGAATAGACATAAGAGATACAATTAGGAAGATAAAATAGCTTGAAGTACACATTTTATCATTCTAAGAAAACATAAAACATAGTATGAGGGTCCAACATGCTTAGCCCACTCTGGGGAACATGGAAGACATGGGTAGCTATAAAAGAAATGCTCTTTTTCTTTTAAATATATTTATATGATAAAGTAATCTAATCCTCCTAAGAAAGGCATAAAAGTGGAAAAGAATATAATTTTACATATGATCCAATTTTACTAAGTTCTATATATAAGCTATATATGTTAGATTTCAAGTACTTGGTGTCATTAGCAGACATAAAGTATCCTCACAGAAAAAGGATTTTTATATTAAAAAGTCATATTCTTGGGGCCGGGCGCGGTGGCTCAAGCCTGTAATCCCAGCACTTTGGGAGGCCGAGGTGGGTGGATCACGAAGTCAAGAGATCGAGACCGTCCTGGTCAACATGGTGAAACCCCGTCTCTACTAAAAATATAAAAATTAGCTGGGCGTGGTGGCGCGTGCCTGTAATCCGAGCTACTCAGGAGGCTGAGGCAGGAGAACTGCCTGAGCCCAGGAGGCGGAGGTTGCGGTGAGCCGAGATCGTGCCATTGCACTCCAGCCTGGGTAACAAGAGCGAAACTCCATCTCAAAAAAAAAAAAAAAAAAAAAGTCAGTATTCTTTTTCTTTGTATTAAATCATTTTTTGGCCAGGCAAAGTGGCTCATGCCTGAAATCCCAAAACTTTGGAATCTGAGGCCGGCAGATCACAAGGTCAAGAGATCAAGACCACACTGGCCAACAAGGTGGAACCCCATCTCTACTGAAAATACAAAACTTAGCTGGGAGTGGTGGCATATGCCTGTACTCCCAGCTACTTGGGAGAGTGAGGCAGCAGAATCACTTGAATCCCAGAGGCAGAGGTTGCAGTAAGCCGAGATTGCCCCATTGCACTCTAGCCTGGCAGCAGAGCGAGATTCCAACCAAAAAAAAAAAAAACATTTCTTGAAATGTAGCAAAAAAGTAAAGGAAATTCAACCTTTAACTCTTAAATTTCACCTAAGATATACTAAACAAATAAATCCAAGATCTATATTTTCCTTTTTTACATTTTTAAATTTTTTAAATTTAAAAAATTTTTAAGTCTGGCTCTGTCGCCCAGGCTGGAGTACAGTAGCAGATTCTTGGCTCACTGCAACCTCCTCCTCCTGGGTTCAAGCAATTCTGCCTCAGCCTCCCGAGTAGCTGGGATTACAGGCGCCCACCACCACGCCCGGCTAATTTTTGTATTTTTAGTAGAGATGGGGTTTTACCATGTTGGTTAGGCTGGTCTTGAACTCCTGACCTTGTGATCCGCCTGCCTCAGCCTCCCAAGTGCTGGGATTACAGGTGTGAGCCACCATGCCCGGCCAAGATCTATATTTGCTTTAACAAGATATGTCTATTGGAAGCATCCATCTTTACTAATGGTGTTAAGAATCCCAGAAGATAAAATGGTGTTAAATAAAGAATCCCATTTGTATATGTATGGTTATTTGCTTTAAAATATAATTAGCTCCACTAAAATCACAGTATAGTGTGATTTACAATCACATAAATATTTAAGAATGAGAACAGGCGCAGTGGCTCACGCCTATAATCCCAGCACTTTGGGATGCCAAGGTAGGTGGGTCACCTGAGGTCAGGAATTTGAGACCAGCCCAGCCAACATGGTAAAACCCTGCCTCTACTAAAAATACAAAATTAGCTGGGTGTGGTGGCACATGCCTGTAATCCCAGCTACTTGGGAGGCTGAGGCAGGAGAATCGCTTGAACCTGGGAGGCGGAGGTTGCAGTGAGCCAAGATTGTGCCACTGCACACCAGACTGGAAAACTAGAGTGAAATTCTGTCTCAAAAAAAAAAAAAAAAAAAAAAAAAAAAAAAATTAACTGGGCATGGTGGTGCACACCTGTAGTCCCAGCTACTTGGGAGGCTGAGGTAGGAGAATTGCTTGAACCCAGAAGGCAGAGGTTACATTACAGTGAGCAGATTGTGCCTCTGCACTCCAGCCCCTGGGCAACAGAGCAAGACCCTGTCTCCAAAAAGAAGACACGGAAGAACCAGGAATCAGCTACCTCTGAAACTGGAGGATAAGGAGGAGATAAAATGAAGATGAGTTAAAAACTATTTGAGAAACAGATTCCTACATCTACTTCTTCCAACTTTACATCTTATGGACTTCTAATACCTAGTCCACACATTAGTTCTGCCAAATGCCATGACATGTGAACCTTATGCTATTGAATACATCACTCATGACTGCCCACTGACTTCCCCAGAATAAGCTCTTAAAAATTCATGGGGAGGCCGGGCGCGGTGGCTCACGCCTATAATCCCAGCACTTTGGGAGGCTGAGGCGAGTGGATCACGAGGTCAAGAGATCGAGACCATCTTGGTCAACATGGTGAAACCCTGTCTCTACTAAACATACAAAAAATTAGCTGAGCACGGTGGCGCGCGCCTGTAGTCCCAGCTACTTGGGAGGCTGAGGCAGGAGAATTGTTTGAACCCAGGAGGCGGAGGTTGCAGTGAGCCAAGATCGTGCCATTGCACTCCAGCCTTCCAGCCTGGGTAACAAGAGCGAAACTCCATCTCAAAAAAAAAAAAAAAAAAAAAATTCATGGGGAAATTAAAGCCACATTATGTTCTTCTAAGAGTCTTTTTTTTTTTTTTTTTCCTGAGACGGAGTTTCGCTCTTGTTACCAAGGCTGGAGTGCAATGGCGCGATCTTGGCTCACCGCAACCTCCGCCTCCTGGGTTCAGGCAATTCTCCTGCCTCAGCCTCCCGAGTAGCTGGGATTACAGGCATGCGCCACGATGCCCAGCTAATTTTTTGTATTTTTAGCAGAGACGGGGTCTCACCATGTTGACCAGGATGGTCTCGATCTCTTGACCTCGTGATCCACCCGCCTCGGCCTCCCAAAGTGCTGGGATTACAGGCTTGAGCCACCGTGCCCGGCTTCTAAGAGTCTTAACAGTGGCAAAATTATAACTTTTTCATTAAACAGATGATAGATAATTCTTGCTGTTTAGTTTTTCAAAATTAAAAAAATATTGTTAGAGATATGGGTATAGATGACAAAAATCATTTTGAAAAATGCAAACTGAAGATGAATATAAATGTCAGAATAGTGGTTTCTCCTGGGAGGAAGACAAAAAGGAGGGATATACAGGTAACTTGTAAGATTCTGTTTCTTTACCTGGGAGGTATTCAAATTTATTAAAAAACACATTTTAGCCTATAATCCTGGCACTTTGGGAGGCTGTGAGTGGATCACTTGAGGTCAGGAGTTCGAGACCAGCCTGGCCAACATGGTGAAACCCCATCTCTACTAAAAATGCAAAAATTAGCTGGGTGTGATGGCATAACTGATAGTCCGAGCTACTTCTGAGGCCAACATGAGAACTGCTTGAACCCGAGGTGGAGGTTGCAGTGAGTTAAGATCGTACCACTGCACTCCAGCCTGGACGACAGAGTAAGATGCTATCCCCACACTAACAACTAACAACTAACACACACACACTCACACACACTCTCACTCTTTTTACGTTCTTCTATGTGTGATACATTTTACCATTTAAACAAAAGTAATTAACATGATCTCCACACCTTGAAGACTTAATTCAGTAGCTCTTTTGAGGTCATCATCTTCTTTCTGTTCCCAAGCCTCCTAAAGAGACAAGAACAAAAACTAAGGTATTTAAAGAAGTACTGATTAAACTTATTCAGAGGATAAAATCAGTTTCTTTGGAAGCATTTGCTAATAATACTTTCTATAACCGTATACATCTTTGGAATATTACCTTTTGAGGAATGTGGGGAAGTTCTTTACTTTTTTCAACATTGTCCTCTTAAAACACAACCTTAGAAGTTAGCTGGGTGTGGTGGCTCACACCTGTAATCCCAGTACTTTGGGAGGCCAAGGCAGGCAGATCACCTGAGGACAGAAGTTCGAGACCAGCCTGGACAACATGGTGAAACCCTGTCTCTACTAAAAATACAAAAATTAGCCAGGCGTGGTAGTGGGTGCCTGTAAGTCCGGCTACTCAGGAGGCTAAGGCAGGAGAATCACTTGAACCCAGGAGGTGGATGGAGGTTGCAGTGAGCCAAGATCACACCATTGCACTCCAGCCTGGGTGAAAGAGCAAAAACTCTGTCTCAAATAAACAAAAAGCCTATAAAGTGTCTGGCACACAGTAGGTATTTAGCAAATTTATATCTGATTTATAGCATTTTCCAATTTCCATACTATATAAAAATAAATACTCTCGTTGGCTGGGCGCGGTGGCTCAAGCCTGTAATCCCAGCACTTTGGGAGGCCGAGGCAGGTGGATCACAAGGTCAAGAGATCGAGACCATCGTGGTCAACATGGTGAAACCCCGTCTCTACTAAAAATACAAAAAACTAGCTGGGCATGGTGGTATGTGCCTGTAATCCCAGATACTCAGGAGGCTGAGGCAGGAGAATTGCCTGAACCGGGAGGCGGAGGTTGCAGTGAGCCGAGATCGCGCCATTGCACTGCAGCCTGGGTAACAAGAGCGAAACTCCGTCTCAAAAAAAAAATAATAATAATAATAAATAAATAAATAAATACTCTCACCATGGCCAATTTTAAGTTATGACATGACAGTGAATGCAAAGTTGGGAAGTGTATATATTGGCTCTCCTGAGCTGATTTGGAGAGCCAGCTCTAACATATCACTCACCTTAAGTCTATAACAGATGGCAAGATGAACATTTCCACAGATATTATTCATAGGTTTCTATTTTTTTTTTTTTTTTCTGAGATGGAGTGTCACCCTGTCACCCAGGCTGGAGTGCAAAGGTACAATCTTGGCCCACTGCAATCTCCAATCTCCACCTCCTGGGTTCAAGCAATTATTTTATACTTAAAAAAATATTTATTTTATACTTTATTCAGAATAAGTCTACTCTGAAACCAAAAGTCAAGACTCGCTTTTAGTTATTAACAGAATGACACAGGTATAACAAACTAAAGACACCTCCTCTTACAACCCTATCCTCACAACTGAGAAGAAGTTTTAATTGAGTCAGCTGATAAGAAACAGTATACATGTCTTTCATCTATGAAAAAAGGAGGTGGTAAATTTTTTCTTTTTATGCACTAAAAATAAATTTTTGCTAAGAAATGAGACCTTAGTCATTTATATTAAAAGTCTTGGCCAGGCACGGTGGCTCACGCCTATAATCCCAGCACTTTGGGAGGCTGAGGCGGGTGGATCACCTGAGGTCAAGGAGTTCGAGACCAACCTGGCCACATGGCAAAACCCTCTCTCTACTAAAATGCAAAGATTAGATGGGCGTGGTTTTGAGTGTCAGTAATCCCAGCTACTCTGGAGGCTGAGGCAAGAGAACTGCTTGAAACCAGGAGGTGGAGGTTGCAGTGAGCCGAGATCTTGCCATTGCACTCCAGCCTGGGCAACAGAGCAAGACTCCATCTCCAAAAAACAAACAAACAAACAAACAAAAAAAAACAGTGGGAGAACCTTTTAAAAATCCAGGTTAAAAGAAGATAGATCTAGATGCCCAGACCACACTCCAGATCAATTATATCAGGGGCAGAACACTCCAGTGTTTTTTAAAGCTCTCCAGTTAATTGGAATGTGCAGTTAAGATTGAGAACTGGCTGGGCACGGTGGCTCACGCCTATAATCCCAGCACTTTGGGAGGCCGAGACGGATGGATCACGAGGTCAAGAGATCGAGACCATCCTGGTCAACAAGGTGAAACCCCGTCTCTACTAAAAATACAAATACTAGCTGGGCACGGTGGCACATGCCTGTACTCCCAGCTACTCGGGAGGCTGAGGCAGGAGAATTGCCTGAACCCAGGAGGCGGAGGTTGCGGTGAGCCGAGACCGCGCCATTGCACTCCAGCCTGGGTAACAAGCGAGAAACTCTGTCTCAAAAAAAAAAAAAGATTGAGAACCACTGGTCTAGAGAAATTAGGTATTTTTTTTCTTTTGAGGCAGAGTCTTGCTCTACTGAGGCTGGAGTGTGGTGGCGTGATCTCAGCTCACTGCAACCTCTTCCTCCTAGGTTCAAGTGATTCTCATGCCTCAGCCTCCCTAGTAGTTGGGATTATAGGAATGCGCCACCACACCTGGCTAATTTTTGTATTTTTAGTAGAGACAGGGTTTCACCATGTTGGCCAGGCTGGTTTTCAACTCCTGACTTCAGGTGATCCATCTGCCTCAGCCTCCCAAAGTGCTGGGATTACAGGTGTGAGCCACATACCCAGCCTAGATTTCTTTTTTTATTCTTTTTTCTTTTTTGAGACAGTTTTGCTCTGTCTCCCAGATTACAGTGCAATGGCATGATCCTGCCTCACTGCAACCTCTGCCTCCTGGGCTCAAGCAGCCACCCAAGTAGCTGGGACTACAGGTGTGCACCATCACATTGGGCTAATTTTTGTATTTTTGGTAGAGATAAGGTTTTGTCATACCGCCCAGGTTGGTCTCAAACTCCTGGACTCAGCAATTTGTCCATCTTAGCCTCCCAAAGTGCTGGGATTATGGGCATGAATTCTATCTGGCCAAATTAGATTTCTTTCTTTTTTTTGAGACAGTCTTGCTCTGTTTCTCACGCTGAAGTGTGGTGGCAAGATCTCGGCTCAATGCAACCTCTGAATCCTGGGTTCAAGCGATTCTTTTGCTTCAGCCTCCCAAACAGCTGGGAATACAGGTGTGTACCAACACGCCTGCTTAATTTTTGTATTTTCAGTAGAGACGGAGTGTCACCATGTTGGCCAGCCTAGTCTAGAACTCCTAGCCTTAAGGGATCCACCTGCCTTGGCCTTCCAAAGTGCTGAGATTACAGGTGTTAGCCATAGCACCCAGCTTAGATTTCTTAATCTGATTATCTGATGAACCCAAACCAGGCCTCAAACTAAACCCACCCATGCATTCTAGGGAGTCTTGGTAAATTTTTACTAAGATGACTTGGATTGCACAGGATCGGATAACTATGAAAAGTCAGACCTGTAAGTTGGATTCTATTAACTATAAATCTGATATTTCAGGTAACTGTAACAGTGGAAATCAAATGGCATAAAGTGAACACTGAAAAATAGGCTACTACATAAAGAAAAGAGAAGAGGCAGCCGGGTGTGGTGGCTCACACCTGTAATCCAAGCACTTTGGAGGCCAAGGCTGCCGTATCATCTGAGGTCGGGAGTTCAAGACCAGCCTGACCAACATGGTGAAATCCTGTCTTAAAAAAAAAAAAAAGAAAGAAAGAAAAAAAGAGAAGAGACTGGGAGTAAACAACTCATGCCTATAATCCCAGCACTTTGGAAGGTTATGGTGGGAGGGCTACTTGAGCCTAGGAGCTTTAGACTAGCCTGGGTAACAGTGAAACCAAACCCTGTCTAAACTAAAAATTAAAAAATTAGCAGAGCATGGTCAGTGCTCCTGTGATCCCATGTACTTGAGAGTCCTAGGCAGGAGGATCGCTTGAGCTCAGGAGGTTGAGGCTACAGTGAGTTACGATCAAGCTACTACCATTCCAGCCTGAGCAACTGAGCAAGATGCTATCTTAAATAAACAGAAAGGCAGATAAATGTTCTAATACCTAAATCTGAAAATTAGATCTTAGATAATATTTCTGATAATTCTATGTTCAAATAATTCATAAAAATTTATATTCTTAGAAACTGACCAAAACAAATACACCTTAAAATATTATGATAAAATCATGGTGGCATACTGGCTATTTCTACAGTTTATAAAATAATGTTGGACTGGGAAATCAGGCATGGTGGCTCATATCTGCAGTCCCAGCACTTTTGGAGGCCAAAGCAGGAGGACTGCTTCAGCCCAGGAGTTCAAAACCAGCCTGGGCAACATAACAAGATCCTGTCTCTAAAAAATTAAAATTAAAAAAGAAAAAAAAAGAAAGAAATTTGGACTAGGAATAATCTATAATATCCCATCCTGGTTTAGTAAGCAACAAATTATAGTTATGAAAGGTAATCAGCAATACATTTTATTTCATTTGTAGTTTTAAAAAAAGAAAAACTACCCATATACCTGTTTCAAACCCAGGTTGCAGTACAGTGGCATGATCTCAGCTCACTGCAACCTCTGCTTCCTGGGTTCAAGAGATTCTCTTGCTGCAGCCTTCCGAATAGCTGGGACTATTAGCCTGGCTAATTTTTGTATTTTTAGTAGAGACAGGTTTTTGCCATGTTGGCTCGGCTGGTCTCCAACACCTGGCCTCAAGTGATCTACCCACCTCAGCCTCCCAAAGCAATGAGATTATAAGCGTGAGCCACCAAGCCCAGCATCAAACAAGACACATAGTAAGCACTCAACATATTACTTACTATTATTCTATTTCTCAGGAAAGATAAGTACAGAGAAAGTAGCAATATAAGTATCTCTTACTTGCTCTTGGAGGCTCTGAGCCAGAGCCTGCTGAAGCTCTTGCTCTTCCCTTTCACGTTCCATATCATACTGCTGAAGCCAATCAACCTCTCCCTGAGATCCTTCTGGAGTTTTGTTTTCTTTATTCTCATCACAGTCTTTAGTTATCTCAGTGAAACTGGCAGGATCTGAGGAAGCAGAACATAATAATTTGGAAAATCCTCTCTAATAAATGGAAAATTCTGAACGAGAGTAACACCTACTGTTCAAAAAGCATACCCTAATTTCATCTATAATTTGCTTAGGACATACAATTTCATCTTACTACATCTATGTCAGGGTTGATCAACCTCAGAGGTATTGACAGTTTGGGTGGGACAAGCTTTTGTGAGGTGAGGTGAGAAGAGTATGTTCTGTGCATTGTAGAATGCACAGTGTAGTGTTTAGTAGTGTTTCTGGCCTCTATCTACTAGATGTCAGTAGCATCCACCCTCTACAGTTGTGATAACCAAAAATGACAGACATTACCGTATGTCCCCTGGAAGGCAAAACTGCTCTTGGTTGAGAACAAATGATCTACAGTAATGGTTCTAAAAGTTAACTGATCATCAGAAACATACTATGTAAAGATGGGGAAGAAAAAAATAGCCACAGGTCAGTGTCACTTGACCAAGGACATAAAGTATTGTTTAGAGTAAATGAAGTAAGAATTAGGCCAAAATGATCAAACTACTATTGAGATTTTCCTTTTTTTTTGTTTTTGAGACAGTGTCTTGCTCTCTCGCCCAGGCTGGAATGCAGTGGCACAATCTTGGCTCACTGCAACCTCTGCCTCCCAGACTAAAGTAATTCTCACGCCTCAGCCACCAAGTAGCTGGGATTACAGGCACACACCATCATGCCCGGCTAATTTTTGTGTTTTAGTAGAGATGGGGTTTCACCACATTGGCGAGGCTGATCTCAACCTCCTGACCTCAGGAGGTCTGCTAGCCTTGGCATCCCATAGTGCTGAGATTACAGGTGTTAGCCACAACGTCGGGCCGATTTTCCCCATTACACTGTATGTTGAACAAGTGTTTTCACATTAATAATCAAACAAGCACTGTATATATTCTAAATCAAAAGAGCTAAGTAAAAAGTAGTAAGTACTGTACAAGTGTATGGCAACATACAGTGAATTTTTAAAACATTCAAACATTCAGGGAGGTAAAAAAAAATTACTCTTTCAATTTTCTTTTTGTTTTTTCTCAATTTCATTTCTCTTCTTCTTCTTCTTTTTTTTTTTTTTTGAGACAGAGTTTCGCTCGTTACCCAGGCTGGAGTGCAATGGCGTGATCTCGGCTCACTGCAACCTCCGCCTCCTGGGTTCAGGCAATTCTCCTGCCTCAGACTCCTGAGTAGCTGGGATTACAGGCGCGCGCAACCATGCCCAGCTAATTTTTTTTTGTATTTTTAGTAGAGACGGGGTTTCACCATGTTGACCAGGATGGCCTCGATCGCTTGACCTTGTGATCCACCTGCCTTGGCCTCCCAAAGTGCTGGGATTACAGGCGTGAGCCACCGTGCCTGGCCTACATAATTTTTCTTAACCAATAATTTTGAGCACTCAAGAGAGAGAAGTACAGATTTCAGGAAGATATCATGGAGACTGAGAAAACAAATAAAACGGTTATTACAGAACTGACTAGTAGCATTTAGTGCCCATTTAAGAGTGTAGTCAGCCAGGCATGGTGGCTTACCTAACATCGGGATTTCAAGACCAGCCTAGCCAACATGGTGAAACCCCATCTTTACTAAAAATACAAAAAATTAGCTGGGTGTGGTGGCGAGTGACTGTAATCCCAGCTACACGGGAGGCTGAGGCAGTAGAATTGTCTGAACCCAGGAGGCGGACACTGCAGTGAGCCAAGGTTGTTCCACTACACTCCAGCCTGAGCAACAAGAGCAAGACTCCGTCTCAAAAAAAAAAAAAGTGTAGTCATGAGTCTGAGGAACATCTACTCAACACAGTTTTGTGATTTTCTTCAGCAGTGTGGGTGCAGGTACGGAAAAAGTAACTAGTTGAGTTGGGAGTCTGGGTTTTGTCAGGCTACTGTGGCAGAAGAAAAGAGGAAGGAGATAAAAGGATAAGAAAATACAGCATGTAGTCTGAGTAAGAAAGGAAGTAATGATAAGAGGGAGGTGTTGAACAGCAAAAAAGAATCAATGAGTTGGCAGTCTTAATAAAAATCAAGTTAAAGTCAGAGGATGACACTAGGTGAGCTGGATGGAAAGAAGGATTAGGGAAGGATATCTGAAACAAAGATTTCAAAGGTGGTACAGTTATTGATGATGAAAAAGTCTAGGGAAGTGGTTTACACACTTCAGTATGCATGAGAATCACTTGGAGGGCCTATCAAAACAGATTGCAAAGCCCCCTATCCAAGGCTTCTCAGTCACTAGACCTGAGGTGGTGCCAAGAATTGGCATTTCCAGCAAGTTCCCAGATTATATTTGTTGATCTAAGTTTACACTTTGGGAAGCAGTGGTCTAGGGTAATGACTTCTATAAGGGGGCAATCAAAATGGGGTAGAAGAAAAGATTTTTGGAATTAAGGTCAGAAACTGAGAAAACAGGCTGCTGAAAGAAAGGGATCATGACACTTCTTCAGACTGTCTTTTCTACTTCAGCTCTCGCCCCAAGCAATCTCCTGTATTACTATAGCCTCACAGACTGATGAAATATCAATTCCTACTTCTAGTCTGAATTTCTTCCCTAAGCTTTCAACTTGTATACTAAAATGCCTATGTAAAATCTCCATTTGCCTGTCTAATTTTTATTCATCCCTAATCCCACCAACTATGTTTTCCTCTTATCAGCAAATGGTACCATCAACTATCCAATTGCTCAGTTCAAAAAAACATGTCTCCCTTTTTTCTTTTTTTCTTGGCACTTTTGTGTTGTTGGTTAGAAAGATCAGCTGGGGCAGGGCGCAGTGGCTCATGCCGATAATCCTAGCATTTTGGGAGGTCGATGCAGGTGATCCCGAGGTTGGGAGTTTGGGACCAGCCTGGTCAACGTGATGAAACCCTGTCTCTACTAGACATACAAAAAATTTAGCCAGGCATGGCGGTGGGTACCTGTAATCCCAGCTTGGGAGGCTGAGGCAGGAGAATCACTTGAACCTGGGAGGCGGAGGTTGCAATGAGCTGAGATTGAGCCACTGCACTCCAGCCTGAGTGACAGAGAAGACTCAGTCCTCCTCCACCCTCCCCCCACCCTCCCTGCAAAAAAAAAAGATTGGCTGGGATGGCTAGATATCTTCTCTCTTCTGGTGATCTCAAGAGTCTTTCCTTCTCAATGTGGTCTCTCCAGCAGGGTAGCCAAGCTTCTTACATATCAGTCTGAATCTCTCATTTTTTTGTTTGAGACAGAGTTTTGCTGTTGTTGCCCAGGCTGAAGTGCAATGGCACGATCTCTGCTCACTGCAACCTCTCCCTGCTGGGTTCAAGTGATTCTCATGCCTCAGCTGCCAAGTAGCTGGGATTACAGGCACGTACCATCACGCCTGGATAATTTTTGTGTTTTAGTAGAGATGGGGTTTTATGACATTGGCCAGACTGCTCTCAAACTCCTGACCTCAGGTGATCCACCCACCTCAGCCTCACAAAGTATTGGGATTACAGGCGTGACCTACCGCATCCGGCCTCCTTTCCAGCCCAAATCTCTTAAGTAAAAGTACATTTTCCTACATAACAATTTTTAAACCTAAGAATATTAACAGTACTTCTATTTATAATTCCAATACATAGCTCACATTCTCATTTCTCCAGTTGTTTCCAAAATATTTTTTGTAGAATTTTTCCTAACCTAAAATACTAAGGTTACTCACTATATTCGGTTGTTAGGTCTCTTTAGTCTTTAGTCAGGGCCAGTTTCTTCTAAAGCCTTCCATTAAGGATTTTTCTAGTGTTCTTTTATGTATAGGCTGTTTTTTCCCCATACCCCAGAGCCTGGAGACTGGGTAGGTTTCTTCTTTATTACCCATTGCCATTTCCAAATACTCTGTCTCCTTTCCTCCTACAAAAACTGTAGCTCTCTTGAAGGGCTGATATCAGACACTGACATATATTACCTCTTCCTATAGCTGTCCCTTTGTTAATATGAGGAAGTTACAGGACTGGGCAAAGAACTGAAAGGGAGAGCAGAAAGCAGGAAACAAATCAGGAAGGGACAAAAACACTAATATTAACCAGTGATATCTAAGGGCAGTAATTATAAATATAACAAGGGGACTGCATAATGATACTTGTATCAAGGAAAAAAAGTAATGCCTGTATATAAAAACCATAATGTTTTTGTTTCCAGTTAAATGGGGATATGCTAACTAATTCTTATTTTACTTGCACACAAAATAATTCAAAATTGAAAAGGTTCCAACTATGAGAATGCAGAAAATAATTTTCTGATATTCTAGCATTCTCTTCACTTTCAAAATCCTATGCTTGGTGTATGTGAAACACATTAGCAATATACAGTTGTTTAGATCTTGGAGCTATCAAGATTTGAACTGGTCATAGGAAGAGACAGTAAAAGGTATCTACCTAAAAATTTCAAAATACCAAAAAAAAAAAAAAAAAAAAAACAACAACCACAACTGGTCATAGGAAGAGACAGTAAAAGGAATCTACCTAAAAATTTCAAAGTACAAGGCAGGAAGGCTCAGCTCTGTTGTACCCACTGAGAGCTTAAGATAACAAAAAATGAATAAATAAAAATTAATTACCAAAAATAGTATAGCATTTTATGTCTAGTCATGTGTTGCATAACGATGGGGATACATTCTGAGAAACTGCATTGTTAAGTGATTTTGTCTTTGTGTGAACATCTTAGAGTATACTTAACACAAGCCTAGATGGTATAGCTGACTATACATCTAGGCTATATGGTATAGCTTATTGCTCCCTAGGCTACAAACCTGTAGAGCATGTTATTGTACTGAGTACTGTAGGTAACTGTAACACAACAGTAAGTAGTTGTATATCAAAATATATCTAAACATAGAAAACGTAATGTTAGGGTGTAAATAATTGAATTATTTACACCCTAACACAATAATTGAATTATTTACACCCTAACACCTAGTGTAAAATTCAGATATAGAAAAATGAAAGAATTCTATGAATTTCTGAAGCAGCAGTGGTTAGAAAAGTACCTCAAAACTGACACAAACATTTATTAAATGCACATAAGAAGGCTAGCTTTACTAGTGATGTATACCTAAAGGGACATGGCATACTTTACCACTAGCATCTGGGTACTAGTCACAATATTTGATTCTCATTTTTTAAAGCTTTTTATAATACAAAATGAAAATGCAATCAGCTCTGTTACACAGATCCACTTTACCTCCCTTTATTTGTTTTTTTCTGAGACGGAGTCTTACTCTATCGCCCAGGCTAGAGTGCAGTGATGTGATCTTGGCTCACTGCAACCTCTGCCTCCCAGGTTCAAGCAATTCTCCTGCCTCAGCCTCCCAAGTAGCTGGGGCTACAATCGCCAGCCACCACACTCAGCTAATTTTTGTATTTATCTCCTGTTATTTGGAGGTCATTTGTCACTATAAAATTTTGAAAGAGTTATGCTTTGTTTAACAGAGGTTTAATCTTCCTTAAACCTACCTAGCTCTGTGATTGTTTTGGGCTTCTCAGTTTCCATAGTATCTGGATTTTCTGGCATTTCCTGAATATCATCTTCTGCAAATCCGGTATCTGGGCTGCTAGTTGGCTTATCATCATCTTCATGACTCAGAGATGGTGAAGCTTCTCTCTTACTTATCTCCAAGACAGCTGCTACAAGTTCTTCTTCACTCATTCTGTCAAATCCTGAGTTTTCCAATTCGGACTTGTCAGGTTCTATTCGACATAATTTTGAATCCTGAAGAAAAGAGTTACTTTTAGAAGAAACCAGAACACCTACAAATATAGCAATCTTAATTAGCATTTAAAGCAGTAACTTTAAAAAAGTTTCCTTTCTTTGCTACTTTGGGTTATTTAACAATCAATAACCAATATATAAATTAAACTTCAAAAATAATAACTACATAAGAAAAATTTTTTAGGCCGGGCGCGGTGGCTCAAGCCTGTAATCCCAGCACTTTGGGAGGCCGAGGCGGGTGGATCACGAGGTCGAGAGATCGAGACCATCCTGGTCAACATGGTGAAACCCCGTCTCTACTAAAGGTGCAAAAAATTAGCTGGGCATGGTGGCGTGTGCCTGTAATCCCAGCTACTTAGGAGGCTGAGGCAGGAGAATTGCCTGAGCCCAGGAGGCGGAGGTTGCGGTGAGCCGAGATCGCGCCATTGCACTCCAGCCTGCGTAACAAGAGTGAAACTCCGTCTCAAAAAAAAAAAAAAAAAAAAAAAAGAAAAAATTTTTAAATTGAAATAAGTATAAATTTTGTAAAAATTTGGAAAATACATAAAAATAATAAATTTACTCAAAATAGATTACTCAGAGATAATTAGTCTAAGTATTTTTAATTTATTTTCTTCCAGATATACATATATTATACAGTCACTATTCTATCATTATACCTATTACACCATTATAAATGTTAGCTGGTCTTATTAACCAAGGTGGGTGCATCACTTGAGGTCAGGAGTTTGAGACAAGCCTGGCCAACATGGTGAAACCCCATCTCTACTAAAAATACAAAAATTAGGCCAGGTGCTGTGGCTCCTGCCTGTAATCCCAGCACTTTGGGAGGCTGAGGCAGGCAGATCACTTGAAGTCAGGGATTTGAGACGAGCCTGGCCAACAGGAAGAAAACCCATCTCTACTAAAAATACAAAAAATGGCCGGGCGCGGTGGCTCAAGCCTGTAATCCCAGCACTTTGGGAGGCCGAGGCGGGTGGATCACGACGTCAAGAGATCGAGACCATCGTGGTCAACATGGTGAAACCCCGTCTCTACTAATGGTGCAAAAAAAAAAATTAGCTGAGCATGGTGGCGCATGCCTGTAATCCCAGCTACTCCGGAGGCTGAGGCAGGAGAATTGCCTGAACCCAGGAGGCGGAGGTTGCGGTGAGCCGAGATCGCGCCATTGCACTCCAGCCTGGGTAACAAGAGCAAAACTCCGTCTCAAAAAAAAAAAAAAAAAAAAAAAAAAAAAAAAAAAAAAAAATTAGCTGGGCGTAGTGGTATGCACCCAGCTACCTGGGAGACAGAAAATCGCCTGAACCCAAGAGGTGAAGGTTGCAGTGAGCTGAGATCCTGCCACTGCCCTCCAGCCTGGGTGAAAAGGCGAGACTCTGTCACAAAAAACAAACAAAATAAAAAAACAAAAATTAGCCAGGCATTGTGGCACACTCCTGTAATTCCAACTACTCAGGAGGCTGAGGCAGGAGGCTGCAGTGAGCCAAGATCCTGCTACTGAACTCCAGCTTAGGCAACAGAGTGAGACTCAGTCTTTACATATTTAAAAAAAAAAAAAAGAAAAAAGAAAAAAAAAAAAAGGGCTGGCTCAGTGGTTCATGCCTGTAATCCCCCAGGCAGGTGAATCACCTGAAGTCAGGACTTTGAGACCATCCTGACCAATATGGTGAAACCCTATCTCTACAGAAATACAAAAATTAGCCAGGCATGGTGGCATGTACCTGTAGTCCTAGCTACTCAGGAAGCTGAGATAGGAGAATTGCTTGAACCTGGGTGGCAGAGGTTGCAGTGAGTCAAGATCTTGCCACTACACTCTAGCTTGGGCAACAGAGCAAGACTCCATCTCAAAAAAAAGATTATGTAAATATTCCAAAATTGTTTTCTGGGAGAATTTTGGACTTTCACTCATTTTTCACTAAAGTTGAGCAACCACAAACTACCTCTGGCTTTAAAGTAAGATAGGAAACAACTCAGAACAAAAATACCTATTAAAATAATTCTGTTATTTAAAAGGGAGGCTTAAAATAAAATACAGTAGCATAAGATAATGCAAACACCTAGAAAAGCTTAGAACTTCAAAGTATTAACTATCCATTTAATTAATCCAATTAATAAATCCATAATTTAAACAATTAGATTACTTGGTTGCTCTATTGATCTAAAATGTTTACTACATTTCTCTTACATAAACAGTTGCTACAGGCTGGGAGCAGTGGCTCATGCCTGTAATACCAGCACTCTGGGAGGCCAAGGTGGGAGGATCACCTGAGCCCAGGAATTTTAGACTAGCCTAGGCAACATAGTAAGACCTTGTCTCTACAAAAAATTTAAAAAATAAGCCAGGCATGATGGTGTGTGCCTATAGTCCCAGCTATCTGGGGAGCTGAGGTAGGAGGATCATTTGAGCCCAGGAGGTCGAGGCTATGGTGAGCTGTGATCACGCCACTGCATTTCAGCCTGGGCAAAAGAGAGATACCCTGTCTTTTTTTTTTTTTTTTTTTTTTTTTGAGACGGAGTTTCGCTCTTGTTACCCAGGCTGGAGTGCAATGGCGCGATCTCGGCTCACCGCAGCCTCCGCCTCCTGGGTTCAGGCAGTTCTCCTGTCTCAGCCTCCTGAGTAGCTGGGATTACAGGCACGTGCCACCATGCCCAGCTAATTTTTTGTATTTTTAGTAGAGACGGGGTTTCACTATGTTGACCGGGATGGTCTCGATCTCTCGACCTCGTGATCCACCTGCCTCGGCCTCCCAAAGTGCTGGGATTACAGGCTTGAGCCACCGCGCCCGGCCGATACCCTGTCTTTTAAAAAACAAAAAACAAAAAATTGCTATCAAAATAGAGCAAGTAATTATTTGAGGACCAATATGCAAAAGCAGCTCTGAAGGGCAAAAAAGAAAGTAATTTGTTTAGAACTAATTTCTTGTAAGTCTTGAGCCATCTGTAAACACACTGATTTTTGCAGCCAGAGAAAGTATTTTCTTTAAAACTAATTAGTTTGATGATGGTTATAAAAGACATTTATTTGGACAGTAAGAGCTACACAAATCTTTGTCAGATGTTTTAAGAAAAAATTACTTACTTTTTCTAGGTCTTCCTGCTGCTGTTCACTGCCTGACATTTCACAAAGTCTTTGGCTGAGGGCCACAGAATGTTTTAGCTCATCCTCACTGTCTGAATCAAGGCATAAAGCCAAGGAGCTTTTGGATTTGAAGGTGAATTTCCTGTAATTTAAGGAAAACAAAATATAAATCTGATAAACATTTGTCTTTGTTTTTCTTTTGATTTAAAAATACCAAAACAAATTGCTTTTCCATTATGGAAAATTACTTAACAGAAAAAAAAAAGATATATCAAAAGAGGTATATTTCAGCATTACCTTGCCCCACTCCAAAAGAGCCATGCTTTGAAAACTGGACAACTCTTATGCTAGTACTTATCATGAGTAAACTAATCATGTTGTACCTTTTTCTTTTAATGATCAACCCAAGTGAAATTTGCTATTGTCTTTATAAACTAAGTATGCTACTGAATTCATGCAGGCATAGCAATGAATAAATGTTTTTGACAACAAAGTGCATGAAGACTAATTTGTGATCTTTTAAATTATGATCCATGCACTTTAAAAATAACAGTAACATTCCACTTATCCACTTATCTGTAGGTGAGACTTCTGGCAACTTCTACTTTCCAGAACATAGGGATTCCAAAGTAAGAAAAAAGTCTTCTGAGGAAGGCAGTTCCAAAGCCCATGTACTTAGAGGGACCCTTACTTTCCCAGGAAATGGTATATAAAATGGTGTATCAAGTTCATCAAGAAATGAGAGCTAAGTAATTAGAATAACCACAAGAAAGGCAAAAAAGAACTATAAAGTCATTTAATGTAAAAGCAAACTTTCTTGTAATAAGAGCCTCTGAGGGCAATCATATTGAAACACAGGGCAATAGTTGATACTTAAAATGTTGATTCTAAGTCATTAAGATATCCTTAGTGATTAAATTATCCTTAGGGATTTTATTTAAAAATGTAAAGAACAGTGTGACATATTTTAGAAACATTTTCTTCCAAAATGTTAAAATTTTTTTACAAGAGAAATGTTTAAAAGGCTAAGCTTCAGTTATATAAAAAATCACTTATGTGGAATCCTTTAACGATGTCGGATAAGTAAGGTGTTACTGTGTTGTCTTCTAGGTAAGTTGAAAATAAACTAAAGAAAAAAGTGGTAAAGATCAAAGTACAAGAACTTTCTTTAATGGAGGTTAACATAAATTCATATGCAATACTAAAAATATATATATATAAAATGAAAACTGGAAAATACATTTAACCTAAATGTAAAAACTGAAAATAAACATATAGACTAATGGCACCAAGAAATAAGAAGCCAGAGTGGAAATCAGGAAGATTGCATAGCAATGTAGATCAAAGAAAAGAGGCAAGTGGTCAGTGATAAGCCCAAACACAGTCTGTGGCTCAGAGCAGCCAGGATATCACTGCAATCCAGCCTGAACACTTGAAAAGCCTCCCATTATGTGCTCAAAAAGGTTTTTAGTGTAACAGCCAATTAGCCATCTTAATTCCTCATTTCTGATTTCATGCTCACCAAGCAAACCTGAACATATTAATTTGTTTATCCAGGTAAATATTTTGCTGAAGGACGATGACATCTGGCTACTATTGCACCAGGGTCAAACGTGACAAAGGACATTGTAGAAGAACCAACAGCATTCGGGTTCATAACTCAGCCTCTTTTAAGTTTGATCGGCATGACAGGTCTTCTAGGGCCTAATCATTCTTTACTGACCAACTCCCAAATTTTCATACCAGTAGACCCTGGAGAACAGATGACCATGCCAAGGTACAATGATGCCCAATGAAACCATTTCTTTCTTGCAACTACAGTGACTTGGTACATAAAGAATGCATTCCATTAATAATTACTATATTCACAGAAGGCAGCTTGCCTGTAGCAATGAAAAATATTCATCCTGTAAATGCATCACTTGCTCACTTTCTAAGCAGCCAAGTGGTATTGCTCATTTGTATCTTGAGAACGGGCAAGAGTATTCATATCGGTATCATTTCAGATTTCTAGTCATGTTAGTCATCTGGTTTTAATTGCACTGAAAAATAATTAACAGGAGGAAAAGAAAATAGCAGTTCCCAAATGTCATTTTATGGTTATATAAGCCCCCCAAAAGCCCTTAAACAACAAAAATGTCTCCTCTAGAAGTACTTTGGGCCATCAAATTTTCAGAAAAATTTAAAAGCCAAATAACAACTAAATCAATTGAAATTATGTAATCAGGAACTCCTCTAGGAAAATCTTAGAGGAAATACAGTTAAAAAACAATCAAAAAAGGCATTTGGTTCCCTCCTTGGATAAAGTTTGGTCTTAAACAAAAAACATAAGGCATTTATAGAATGCTTGCTTGTTTTCCTGTCCCCTTTCAAAATAATTCATATTTGGTGTCAAAGACAAGAAGTTCCAGACTGGCTAACAACAGGTAAAAAATGTTTTGGGATTCCATGCCTATCTTTGAGGAAGAGTGTGTTAGACTAATAGGAGTTATTTTATCCCTTAAATCCCTAGACTCCTTTGCCCTCAGTTAATTTTTTGAGTTTCAGGATGAAAGTATTACATATTAACAATGATAAGGTTTTAAGACAGAATATTGAAAGGATGAGCTAAACTTGTATCACTGATTAAAATTTGTTATATCCTTCAATATACTCTAAATCAAATTCAGGAAAATTTCAAAAGTATAGGTAATAAAGAGCAGTTATCATGCAAAAAGTAAAACAATAACAAAAAGGCAGGGAGGCAATCTTGGAGATTAGGGTAAGCCAAATCCTTAAATATAGATTTTGGGTACATTAAGAAACATAACTCACTTTGAAGGTGTAGAAGGGCTGGTGATGCAGGAATTCACCATTTGAGAGGTTTTCAATGGTCTAGAACTATCAGAAAATTAGAAAATATATAATGTATACAAATGAATTATTAAAGATATATATATATATTTAACTTATAAAATGAATTATTCTGTACTATAATCCTTTTATGTCCTCTTGAAAATCAAACAATTATAATGCTTTTTAAATTACTAGCAACAGGCCAGGTGGCTCACACCTGTAATCCCAGCAGTTTGGGAAGCTGAGGCGGGCAGATCAACTGAGGTCAGGAGTTCAAGACCAGCCTGGCCAACATGCTGAAACCCTGTCTCTACTAAAAATACAAAAATTAGCCAGGCATGGTGGCGGGCACCTGTAATCCCAGCTACTCAGGAGGCTGAGGCATGAAAATTGCTTGAACCCAGGAGATGGAGGTTGCAGTGAGTGGTGATCATACCACTGCACTCCAGCCTAGGCAACAGAATGAGTGTCTGTCTTAAAAAAAAAAAAAAAAAAAATACTAGCAATAGAGGCCAAAAGAGAAAATGAAATACCATCTCTAGACTCTCCTTGATCCAGTAATCTAAACAGACAGTATTGGAAATGAAGTCAAGCATAATACATACATGAAAAAAGTAACTTGGAGAAAATTGCTTTGTCTCAGTTCTTTTAAAATAATAGCTCTCATTTATTGAGGACTTACTAGATGTCAGACACCGTACTAAGAACTCTACATATATTACATCATTTAATGTTCACAACCACTCTATTATTTTTCTTACAGACAAGTCGAGGAATTTGTGCAAGATCTAAAAGCTATCAAATTGTAGAGTCAGATAGCTTGGATTCAGGCCTAAGATCATACAGAGTCTACACCGTTGGTGTGACATAATACTACTGCCAGAAAGAGTAATAGCTGTACCAGCAGACGGCAGTATGTACCAAGCAAAAAACAAGCAAAGGTGTGAGAGGAAAAAAACCATTAGACTCTTTGGGTACATGCTTTTATTATTAGACCCTTGAGTGTAAACTTCTATAAGACGTGGCTCTCTCAGACACTAACTGCATGACTTTAGGAAAATCATTTAATATCCTTAGTCCTCTTCTATAAAATTAAGGGCTTGGACAAAAATCTCTAAAACGTCTTTCACCTTTAAAGTTCTATAACTTTATTTATTTAATTTTAAAGATGGGGTTTCACCATGATGGCCAGGCTGGTCTTAACTCCTGACCTCAGGTGATCCACCCACCTTGGCCTCCCAAAGTGCTAGGATTACGGGCGTGAGCCACCATGCCTGGCAGTTCTATAACTTTATGATTTTACCAAACTAGTGTTCAAGTATAGTAAAGAATTACATAGCATATGCCTTCAAAGTAATGCGAGTATGTAGAAAAAGGAAAAACATTCAAAGAAGTCCTAAGGTTTTCCCAGCATACATGATGGAAAAAAACCTAAAGATTACTTCTTTTTTTCTTGAGAGGCTTTTTTTTTTTTTTTTTTTTGAGATGGAGTTTTGCTCTTGTTGCCCAGGCTGGAGTGCAGTGGCACTCCATAAAGATAGTTCTTTATGGCTCTCTATATTCATCCTATTCATCTAGACATTAAACTTAAAAGTATCATCTTGTCTTGATTTATATTTCTCTCAATTATGCATTTCTTAATTGACATTCCAAATGATGAGACTTGGGGTACTTTTAATCATTTTGTTTTTTAAGCACTTTTTTTTTTTTGAGACAGAGTGTTGCTCTTGTTACCCAGGCTGGAGTGCAATGGCGCGATCCGGCTCACCGCAACCTCTGCCTCCTAGGTTCAAGCAATTCTCCTGCCTCAGCCTCCCAAGTAGCTGGGATTACAGGCATGCACCACCATGCCCAGCTAATTTTGTATTTTTAGTAGAGATGGGGTTTCGCCATGTTGGACAGGCTGGTTTCAAACTCCTGACCTCAAGTGATCCACCAGCCTCGGCCTCCCAAAGTGCTGGGATTACAGGCATGAGCCACCACGCCCTCTTGAGAAGCTTTAAGAGCCATTTAAGTTCTTCACACTGCTGAAAATACATGTATGAAGGCATAACATTGAGCATAGGGTTTCTCAAATCTTCATGTCCCGAAGAGTCAGCTGAGGCATTTGTTAAAAATATTGATTCCTAAGCCCCTATTTCAGACCTACTGAAACAGAACGTCCAGGGAAAAAACACAAAAATCTGTATTTTTAGTGTTTAGGTGACTCTTATTATCACCTAAGTCTGATTTATATTCCCATAGTATATCAAACTGTCTTCTAGTAGTCTAAAGAATAAGAGCACTTCCTAAAAAAGCACCTCACTATGAAAATCAACTAATAAATTTGGAAATATTTTAACCATTTTCTTCAATTACTTCAGACAGTGATTTAACACTAAAATTCCAAAGTAAAGCAAAATTAAGATCTCCTTCTTGATCTGAGTTTTTTTTTTTTTTTGAGATAGGGTCTCACTCTGAGCACCATTCACTGGAGCCTGGATCTCCCAGGCTCCAGCAATCCTCCCACATCAGTCTCAAATAGCTGGAACTATAGGTGTGTGCCACCATGCTGGTTCTATTATTTTATTTTTTGCAGAGACAAGGTCATGCTATGTTACTATAGGTGACTTCAAACTCCTAGGCTCAAGCAATTCTCCTGCCTCAGCCTCCCAAAGTACTGGGATTATAGGCATGAGCTACTGCATTTGGCCATTGATCTGATTTGACCTTGGAATCATACGTAGTTCAGTCATTCTTTTGATTAGAAACTAAAGCCTTTCTATTTCAAAAGGGAATGTAAAGACATAGTCTCTCAAAGACTTACACTGCCATATGTGCACTCCAACCAAGGGTAAAAGGTGGTTTTGTATTTTCAGTGCAATGAGATGACAGGGTCAGGTATCTTGGAATGATGACTTGCTGTCCAATCTTATTGTTAAGCGAGAGAGCCACATTGAAGCTATATCGTTTCAAATGAAGAATGAGGATCCTGAAAAGAATGAGATGACAACCTTACTAATTCATACATAATATAGGTATCTTTTGTATACTAAAATAGATCACTCTATGTTAGATGACTTTTGATTTAAAAATTCCATGTGGCCAAAATAAAGACACATCAAAGAATATTTACTGAATACCTGTTAGGTGCCAGGCACTGTGCTAGGTAATAAGCACACAAATAAAAACAAAACAGGGACACTGGTGGTGGATTAGTGTGGTTTGGGTAAAATACTTAATGTTCCTAGAAAAAACACAAATAAATAAGACATAGCAGACAAGAATGTTAAATTTTTTTTTTTTTTTTTTTTTTTTGACACGGAGTTTCGCCCTTGTTACACAGGCTGGAGTGCAATGGCGCGATCTCGGCTCACTGCAACCTCCGCCTCCTGGGCTCAGGCAATTCTCCTGCCTCAGCCTCCTGAGTAGCTGGGATTACAGGCACGTGCCACCATGCCCAGCTAATTTTTTGCGCTTTTTTAGTAGAGACGGGGTTTCACCATGTTGACCAGGATGGTCTCGATCTCTCGACCTCGTGATCCACCCGCCTCGGCCTCCCAAAGTGCTGGGATTACAGGCTTGAGCCACCACGCCCGGCCAAGAATGTTAAATTTTTTAATTTGGCATTAATATTGGGTTAAATCCTTAAATTATTTACTTCACTGTTACATAGTTTAAAAAGCAATAGGTTTTATATAACCACTACTGGTAAAATAGTGTCTATTAAAATGTTGCATAGCTCTTATATTTGATGTTAAACATTAATTACTTCAAGATGATTTCCGATGAGAATTATTCTTTTATTTTCAGAAGAACTTTCTCTGTAGAAAGCTAAGGAAGAAATACAAAACTTTTCCCCATCTAGAAAAAAGCGGTACAAAAATTTGCATGCCAAATCTGGTCTGTAAGTCTGAAAAGGCTTTTAGCGTTTTAGAAGCACTGAATTCTTTATGGTTAAAATTGTGGTAACCTTTTCACTTCTCATACAGAACACAATCTCTGCTTGATGGATTAAATATATTTCTCAACCCACAACAACACTTTAAAAATTGAATTTCAAAAATCTTATGGGAATAAACTTCAGTTCTAGGCACACACACAAAATTGTCTGATCTATAAAAAAACTGTTTCTTACCATATACACCTTCATCACAGAAGCCACAAACAAAAATTTGCAAATTGAAGTTATCGATTGTACTTCTTTTTTAAAAAGCATGCTAGAATTCAGGACCTTTATATTTACAATTTGAGAGAATACAAGGACACAACTGATGTAAAACCAATGTCAAAATCAAATATTTTAACTAGAATTTCAAATAACCTAACCAAAATAAAAGGTAACATAGGCTACTCTGGACACACTGCCTATAGTGTAGCCCTGCTCTGCACAGAGCAGTAAAAGGAGGGGGAAAAAAGGGTAATATAAAGCAGGAAAATGACAGTCAAAATCACAGATCTTCGAAGAAAAGTCTCCACTAAAGGGGAATGGACTTTGTAATGATATCAGGTTCTTCAAGAATAAGAATGGTTTTGAAAATTAAATTGAGCACAAATAGAACAAGACTAATCCTAATTCGGATTTAACAAACAGGCTTTTAGTACATAAGACTGGAATAAATTAACCTTTAACACAAGTGAGCTACCAGAAAAAAAGAAAGAAAGAAAGAAAAAAAAAAGGCATAAAAATTCCCCTTAGCATTTTTTTCTCCCACTTGAAAAATCAAACAGCAAGAGAATGGGAAAGAGAAGAGGAATCCAGCATGTGAGGTAAAAACTAGTCTTTTTAACTGTACATGGTTTCCTTAGTGATAGCTGGTAACAACCAATTCTTTGCCTTAAGATTCCTCCTCCCGCCGGGTGCGGTGGCTCAAGCCTGTAATCCCAGCACTTTGGGAGGCTGAGGCGGGTGGATCACGAGGTCGAGAGATCGAGACCATCCTGGTCAACATGGTGAAACCCGGTCTCTACTAAAAATACAAAAATTAGCTGGGCATGGTGGCACATGCCTGTAATCCCAGCTACTCAGGAGGCTGAGGCAGGAGAATTGCTTGAACCCAGGAGGCGGAGGTTGCGGTGAGCCGAGATCGTGCCATTGCACTCCAGCCCGGGTAACAAGAGCGAAACTCCGTCTCAAAAAAAAAAAAAAAAAAAAAAAAAAGATTCCTCCTCCCACCTTCCTGGCCTCAAACCACTCATAAATTAGAAAGAACAAAGTCTCTAAATTCAAAAACATAAGTTTCTTTTTTTTTTGGCTAATTAAAAAATTTTTTGGGCTGGGTGCAGTGGCTCACACTTGTAATCCCAGCACTTTGGGAGGCTAAAGCAGGTGGATCACCTGAGGTCAGGAGCTGGAGACCAGCCTAGCCAACATGGCCAAACGCCATCTCTACTAAAAACACAAAATTAGCTGGGCGTGGTGGTGTGTGCCTGTAATCCCAGCTACTTGGGAGGCTGAGGCATGAGAATCGCTTGAACCCAAGAGGCGGAGGTTGCAGTGAGCCAAGATCATGCCACGGCACTCCAGTCTGAGCAAAAGAATGAGACTCTGTCCGGGGGCTGTGGGGGATGGTTGGGGGGTACCCACAACATTTTTTTAGAGATGGAGTTCATCCCCATGTTGCCCATGCTGGTCTTGAACTTCTGGTCTCAAGCAATCCTTCCACCTTCGCCTCCCAAATTATTGAGATTACAGGTGTAAACCAACATGCCTAGCCTTTATAAAGTCATTTCTTTAAAACCAACTTCTTTGATCAGGCATGGTGTCTGACACATGTAATTCCAACACTCTGAGAGGCGGAGATGGGTGGATCACCTGAGGTCAGGAGTTCAAGCTGACCCGGCGAAACCCCGTCTCTACTAAACATGGCGAAACCCCGTCTCTACTAAATATATAAAAATTAGCCAGCTGTGATGGCACACACCTGTAATCCCATCTACTCAGGAGGCTGAGGCAGGAGGATTGCTTGAACTTGGGAGGCAGAGGCTGCAGTAAGCTGAGCTTGCACTACTACACTCTAGCCTGGGGGACAAAGCAAGACTCTGTCTCAAAAAAAAAAAAAAAATTAAAATAAATAAAACCAACTCCCTTATCTCCCGAGCACGGAGAAAAATTTAAAAATTATTACACACACACAAAAAAACTCCCATTTTCTAGAAAGTAGATCATGAAATGTAAAAGTACTAGTCTCTAGGGGCTAGGTTCCAGAAATTCCACACTTACTGACAAAATATTGAAGCCAATAAAAGAAAGTAAAGCACTCTGTAGGCAAAGTGCTACATAAATACTTAATGTTAATAATAACCTTGGTGGTTGCAATCTATTCTTGGAAAGAACTAAAAGCTGTACTATAACCACATCACAATTTTTTGTAACTAGGTTGGTTCTGTTTATACAGAGCTGATACAATGTAAGTTACCTTCATTCCTAAATCAGAAAATTTATCTTATGATTACAGGAAATTTACTAATTTATAAGATCTTTCAAATGAAAGAATGTGTAAACTGTAAAAAATTATTCCTTATGTTATTTTATGTACATGTATGTATGTGTCTATGGCAAGTTTTTACTGAAAGTTTGGGAAAACAGAGAAAGACTACAGCACAACACAGGACAACAAATTATAACTGAATATTACACATTACTGAATTAAAAACTGACTAGCTAGTTTTTAACAATTAATCCAAAGTCTCACCAGTTGTATCCTCTATTGCCATTTTCTTGGGACTCTCAAGACTCTTTTTCTCTTCAATATTCCAAACCCTTTCCCTTCCTTCCTTTCTTTTAATATGTATTTCTTTCTTTTGTAGAGATGGGGTTTCCCTATGTTACCCAGGCTGGTTTGGAACTCCTGGACTTAAATGATCCTCCCAAAGTGCTAGGATTACAGGTGTGAGCTTATCAGATTTGGCCACCTTTCTTATGCAAGAGCATTCTAGCTTTCCACCCTCTACACTCTGCACATTTCAGCTTTCCTGGCCCTCTCTACCAATCCATTCTAGTAACCTTCATTTACTCAGTAAATTGTATGAACTTTAAAAAGAAAAATTGGGCCAGGCATGGTGGCTCACACTTGTAATCCCAGCATTTTGGGAGGCCAAAATGAGTGGGTAGAGTTTCATCAGCTTGGCCAACATGGTGAAATCCTGTCTCTACTAAAAATACACAAAAAAATTAGCTGGGCATGGTGGCACATGCCTGTAGTCCCAGCTACTTGGGAGGCTGAGGCAGGAGAATTGCTTGAACCCGGGAGGCAAAGTTGTAGTGAGCCAACATCTCACGACTGCATTCCAGCTTTGGCGACAGAGTGAGACTTTGTCTCAAAAAAAAAAAAAAAGAAAGAAAGGAAAAAAAAAATTGAAAAGCAATTAAATTTACCTGGGAATTCCTTAGTCCATAGCAAAAAAAAAAAAAAGAAAAAAAAAATTTACCTAGGAAGCCTGTTAAATTTGTGCCTGACAAGAGCACACTTCCCACCACACTTCTCACAAGAATATTCCAGTTCTTCGGCCTATGAAAAGAGGAAAAAATAAAGCATGAAATTGAATCAGCATTAATCTCTTAAATGAAAAAAATCTGCTTTAGTCTTATTAATTCCATTAGTGGAATGATAACTGAACTGGTTTTGAAAATTCTGTGTCTAGATCTATGAGCCTTACCAAATTAAGACCTAATCCTCAAAATATTATATCATGCCCCGTTTCAGAACTCCTAATTTCCTTTTCTACCAAGGAAATATCTAAATTTATGATACTAACTAGACTCTAAAGTAGAAGATTCTCAGCCTTTTCTCCATGGACACATATGAATCACCACCAAAAGTATATCCAGATTTTAACATTTAACCATAGCAGAGATAAGATCACCTTCAGGTTAGGTAGAATTTCTGGTCTGTTAGGTGTAATGCTAACTCCTTTTGCATAATGGAATTCAATCTTCTGGTGACAGCCCACTAAGAACCGCTTTAAAAGGACAAAAGTTTGGGGTGAACACCATTACCTAGACAATGCTGAAATTAAGAAATCCTTAAAATATGGGGGTAAAAATACATAGAAAAATCTTCAAAGTCTATTGATAATAACATGTATAGTTTAAAAATGACTAAGAGTATTTACCTTTTGAAGCTCAATATTCATTATTTAAAAACCAGATTTTTTTTTTTTTTTGAGACAGAGTCTCACTCTGTCGCCCAGGCTGGGGGAGTGGCGTGATCTCAACTCACTGCAACCTCCATCTTAAGGTTTCAAGAGATTCTCGTGCCTCAGTTTCCTGAATAGCTGGGACTACAGGCATGTGCCACCATGCCTGGCTAATTTTTGCATTTTTAGTAGAAGTGAAGTTTTGCCACGTTGGCCAGGCTGGTATCAAACTTCTGAGCTCGGCCGGGCACGGTGGCTCAAGCCTGTAACCCCAGCACTTTCGGAGGCCGAGGCGGGTGGATCACGAGGTCGAGAGATCGAGACCATCCTGGTCAACATAGTGAAACCCCGTCTCTACTAAAAATACAAAAAACTAGCTGGGCATGGTGGCACGTGCCTGTAATCCCAGCTACTTAGGAGGCTGAGGCAGGAGAATTGCCTGAACCCAGGAGGCGGAGGTTGCGGTGAGCCGAGATCGCGCCATTGCACTCCAGCCTGGGTAACGAGAGCGAAACTCCGTCTCAAGAAAAAAAAAAAAAAAAAAAAACTTCTGAGCTCAGGTGATCGGCCTCCCAAAGTGCTGGGATTATAGGCATGAGCCATAGCACCCGGTCGTATTTTTTTTTCTAAACCTTAGGAAGACAATCCTGCCAATTTACTACAACAAAACAAGGACGACTACTAGACAGATCAAGGGGGATTCTTGCAAATTTCCACCAGTTATCAGGACTGCTATAATAAGTCTGATTACACCCCAGAAACTTTAACAGTATCTGTAATGGTGTACCATAGACACAAATACTACAGCTTTAAAAAAACATGATTCTTCCATCCTGTTTCTAATAGGGTATGTTCAACCTAAGAAAAAGCAATGAATATTTTCTCTTTCTGCAGATCTTAGGATACCAACTTATATGATATGATATCTTTGGTTTTAATTTCATGTTAAGAAATTTTAGCATATGTTACTTCAAACACTTTAATATTTGTTCACAAATAGCAAACTACTTCTAAGGTTGTCTAAATGCTTGCTATTGAGTTAAATTTATAATCTAAGCAATTAATTTTCTTTTTTGATGAGTTATAATTAGATGTATCAAGCTTTTAAAAATAATTATTTGTAAAAAGTCTCATTTGTTTTCCCCACAGATAATTTTGTTGAATCTCTGCCAAGGCTAGGCGTGGTGGCTCATGCCTGTAATTTGAGCATTTTGGAAGGCCAAGGTGGATGAATCACCTTAGGCCAGGAGTTCAAGATCAGCCTGGCCAACATGGTAAAAAACCCCATCTCTACCAAAAAAAAAAAAAATACAAAAATTAGCTCAGGCATGGTGGCATGGTGCCTGTAGTCCCAGCTACTCGGGGAGGTTGAGGTGAGAGGATTGCCTGAACCTGAGGGCAGAAGTTGCAGTGAGCTGAGATCGTGTCACTGCACTATAGCCAGGGTGACAAAGTGAGACCTTATCTCCCAGAAAAAAAAAAGAAAGAAACCACCTTCGAATACAACTATCGACGATATAAAATTTAGTTATGTGAAAATAAAAAAGGTATTACTTACCCTAAAGAAAAGATCAAGAGAATCTTGAATTGAACGAGGAGGAAGTGGTTTTTTCCTACGAGGAAGGTCAATAGAGAGGTCATTAAACTGTTCTCTTTTGGGGATAATCTCTCCACATCTGTAAGAAGAAAAGGAGACATGTAAGCATTTAGAGCAATACACAAGAAACACAAATATGCCTGAGAAACACTGTTCTTTCATAGAACTTATGGTACTGACATCCTATCACCAGGCACAAAAACTTGTATTTAAGACTTTTTGATGCTTATTAAATTAATACAGATAAAACTGCAATTACAAGTATTTAAGTAACTTTCCTAAATTTTTAAACTTTACATAAGCAACCCCCAAACTTTAAAAAACTAAAGCATAACATAATATAGAAAAGTGAACCTGTGGCAGGTATATGGCTTTATGAATTATCAGTTAACACATTCATTACCACTCAAATAAAGAAACGGGGCCAGGTGTGATGGCTTGAGCATGTAATCCCAGCACTTTGGGAGGCTGAGGTGGGCAGATCGCCTGAGGTCAGGAGTTTGAGACCAGCTTGGCCAACATGGTAAAACCCTGTCTTTACAAAAAATACAAAAACTAGCTGGGCATGGTGGTGGGGGCCTGTAATTCCAGCTACTCGGTAGGTTGAGGCAGGAGAGAATCACTTGAACCCAGGGCAGTGAGCTGACATGGTGCCACTGCACTCCATCCTGGGTTACAGAGCAAGACTCTGTCTCAAAAAAAAAAAAAAAAAAAAAAAAAAAGGAAACAGAGCACAATCAACTACCTAGAAGCCCCCTCACACATACCTTTTTCTAATCACTACCCTCTCCCAAAAGATAACTATTATTCTGACTTCCAACACCATAGATAAGTTTTGCCTGCTTTGGAACCTTTTACAATGGGATTATGCAATGCTTTCTTTTAGCATGATTGTAATATTGAACCATGCCTGCTGTGCATGACTCTATTGCATTTTTCACTGTTGTATAGCATTAATCTGTAGGAATATTCTATCATTATCCATGTTAGTATTGATGGGCATTTAGGTTATTTCCAGTTGTTGGCTAGACAGGGAATGCTGCTTTAAAAATTCTACATGCTTTTTATGTGCATGTGTGGCTACTTCTGTTAGGCAGCAGAATGATTTCGTTATCAAATATATATATTTTTTCAAATATATTTTTTATAGAATTTTAAAAAGTGAGCTCAGATATTAAAATACCATATTCAATTTACCTAGATGCAAATTTCTTTTAAGTAGTTTTGGCTGTTTTTCATTTTATCTATCAGTACTTTAAGTAATATTTGTATTTCTACCCTAATTCCCTATTGTTATAGCTAAAAGACTGAAAAACATGAGTATACTTGTTTTTCCTTCAGCAAACATTTAATGGGTGCGTCTCTGACAGGCAGAATTCTAACATGAACCTCAATTCTGTATAATTCTGTCCCCTTTGAGTGTGGATGGAACCAACCTGTGATAATGATGAGTTACCACACCTAAGATGATGTTACTTTACCTGGCCCAAAGGAATTTTGCAGATATAATTAAGGTTAATAATCTTAACTTTGAATGAATCAAAAAGAAGATAATCTGAATGGGTCAGATCCAATCATGTGAGGCTTTTAGTTTTTGAGACAGGCTCTTACTTTCTTGCCCAGGCTGGAGAGCAGTGGCACGACCACAGCTCACTGCACCCTTGACCTCCCAGGCTCAAGCAATCCACTTCAGCCTCCCAAATAGTTGGGACTACAGGTGTGCACCACCATGTCTGGCTAATTTTTAAACTTTTTTTTTTTTTTTTTTTTTTGAGACGGAGTTTCGCTCTTGTTACCCAGGCTGGAGTGCAATGGCGCGATCTCGGCTCACCACAACCTCCGCCTCCTGGGTTCAGGCAATTCTCCTGCCTCAGCCTCCTGAGTAGCTGGGATTACAGGCACGCGCCACGATGCCCAGCTAATTTTTTTTGTAGTTTTAGTAGAGACGGGGTTTCACCTTGTTGACCAGGATGGTCTTGATTTCTTGACCTTGTGATCCGCCCGCCTTGGCCTCCCAAAGTGCTGGGATTACAGGCTTGAGCCACGGCGCCCGGCCTATTTTTAAACTTTTTGTAGAGAAGGGGTCTCACTATATTGCCAGGGCTGGTCTAACACCTAGATTCAAGCAATCCTCTTGCCTTGGCCTCCCAACGTGCTGGGACTACAGGCATGAGCCACCATGCTCGGCCCATATGAGCCCTATAAATCTGGGTCTAGAGGACAGAAAGGGAAGAAGTCTGAAGTCAGAAAGATGTATATTTCCTGCTGGCCTGGAAAAATGCAAACAGCACTGCTGTGAACTGCCTATGAGGGGGCCATGGAACAATGATCTATAGGCAGCCTTTAGGAAATGAGTGGTTCTGGTGGACAGCTAGCAAAAAAATGAGGACCTCAGTCCTATAACCAGAGCATCTGAATTCTACCCATGACCTTAATGAGACAGAAGAGAAACCTGGGCTCCAGATGAGAACATGGGCAGTAATGCCTTTATTTCAGCCTTGAATACTCTGAGCAGAGTACTCAGCCATAATGTGCTCAGATTTCTGACCTACAGAGCTGGGATGAATTAATAAATGGGTTTTGTTTTAAGCTAATATGTTTGAAGCAATTTGTTGCACAGCACTGAAAACCTAATACAGCCTCCTCTATGCCAGAAAATGTTCTAGAACTTGGGGTGACAGTAGTAAATAAACCAAGGCAAAAATACCTCCTCTCATGAAGCCATCATTATATAGAGACAGGCATGAAACTGACACTAGTAAAACACAATGTATTAGACAGTGATACATGTAAGATGGAAAAACATAGTAGGGAAGAGGGAAATAAAAGCTGTGAGCAAAATATCTGAGAGGGTCGCAAGAAAACACATCACTGAGCAAATGGCCTTTATGTAAAGATCTGGAGAAACGAGGACACTAACTAAATAAGAATACGGGGGCCAGGTGTGAGGGCTTGTAATATCAGAATTTTGGTAGGCTGAGGTGTAAAGTTAGCTTGAGCCCACAAGTTTGAGACCAGCCTGGGCAACACTGGAAAACCCCATCGCTACAAAAAAATTTTAAAAATTAGCTGGGCATAGTGGCATGCACCTGTAGTCCCGGCTACTCAGGAGGTTGAGGCGGGACAATTATTTGAGCCTGGGAGGATGAGGCTGCAGTGAGCTGTGATTGAGCCACTGCACTCAAGCCTGGGTGAAAAAGCAAGACCATGTCTCAAAAATAAATCAGTAATTAAATAAAAATAAGAGAATATTGGGAAAGAGAATTCAAAATAGAGGAAACGGTAAGTGCAAAGGCTCTGAGGCATCATGATCCTGGCATTTTTGAACAAAAGCAAGGAAGCTAATTTGGTTAAAATAGAATGAGCAAGGGAAACGTGTGACAGAAGACAAAGAGAGTTAACAGAGATGGGGGTAGGAGTGCTGAGAGGCAGATTACATGAGGTTACACAAGTCATAGACTTTTTAATTTTATAAGCAGAAGGCTGACATGAAATAACTTCCATTTTAAATGGATCACTTGGGCTTTTGTATTTAAATAGACTGCAGAAACATGGTGACTAATTTAAGATGCTGCAACAATTAAAGCAAGAGATGATAGTGGCTTGGTATAGGGCAGTGGCAATCAAAGTGGTAAAAAGAGGTCAGATTCTGGATGTATTTTCTTTTCTTTTTTTTTTTTTGAGACAGAATGTCGCTCTTGTTACCCAGGCTGGAGTGCAATGGCGCGATCTCGGCTCACCGCAACCTCCGCCTCCTGGGTTCAGGCAATTCTCCTGCCTCAGCCTCCTGAGTGGCTGGGACTACAGGCACGTGCCACCATGCCCAGCTAATTTTTTGTATTTTTAGTAGAGACGGGGTTTCACCACGTTGACCAGGATGGTCTCGATCTCTTGACCTCGCGATCCACCCGCCTCGGCCTCCCAAAGTGCTGGGATTACAGGCTTGAGCCACCGCGCCCGGCTTTGGATGTATTTTCAAGGTAGAGCCAAAAGGACTTGCAGACATATGAGATGTCAGGTTTGAGAAAAAGAAATACAAAGCTGGGCATAGTGGCTTATGCCTGTAAACCCCAGGAATTTGGAAGGCTGAGGTGGGAGCATTGCTTGAGGTCAGGAAATCAAGACCATCCTGGACAACAGGGAGAGCCTGTGTCTAGAAAAAAATTTAAAATTAGCTGCGCATGGTGGTGTGTGCCCGTAGTCCTAGCTACTCAGGATGCTGAGGTGGGAAGGACTGCTTAAGTTCAGGAGTTTGCAGGCTACAGTAAGCTATGACTGTGCCACTGCATTCCAGCCTAGGCGACAAGAGCAACATTCTGTCTCAAAAAAAAAAAAAAAAAAAAAAAAAAAAAAAAAAAAAAAAAAAAATCCCATATTCAAGAATATATTATTAATACATTGAATTGTCTTATAATAATTAAAAAGCAGTCAGCTTAAATTGTAATAGTTTTAAAAACAAGTACATTTGACAAACTGGCCAAACAAACCTACAGCATGATGGAGCAGAGGATAAACACACAAAAATTACAATCCAAAGTGTAAAGTGTGTGGAATCTTCCTTCAGCCAGTAACTACTTTGTGTTTAGACAAGTGTCCTAAAGAAAATTACTAATGAAGCAGCCAGGCGTGGTGGCTCAAGCCTGTAATCCCAGCACTTTGGGAGGCCGAGGCGGGTGGATCATGAGGTCAAGAGATCAAGACCATCCTGGTCAACATGGTGAAACCCCGTCTCTACTAAAAATACAAAAAACTAGCTGGGCGTGGTGGCGCGTGCCTGTAATCCCAGCTACTTAGGAGGCTGAGGCAGGAGAATTGCCTGAGCCCAGGAGGCAGAGGTTGCGGTGAGCCGAGATCGCGTCATTGCACTCCAGCCTGGGTAACAAGAGCGAAACTCCGTCTCAAAAAAAAAAAAAGAAAATTACTAATGAAGCAACAGAACCCTATCCCCAACCAGCTGGCACATCCTGTCCAGTTTAGCTACATGGTGTGTCTATATCCCATGACCCAAGGCACTTATTGCACAGATGCACATTACTTCAAACTGCACATCCAACATTTGGGTGCTATACAATTAGTGCCTAACGCCACTGACATAGTGCAGAAGCCATTGCTCTGATATGGCCTTCTTTCTTTTCTTTTTTGAGATGGGGTCTTGTTCTGTCACCCAGGCTAGAGTGCAATGGTGTGATCTCGGCCTATTGCAGCTGCCACCTCTCAGGTTAAAGCAATTCTCCTGCCTCAACCTCCCTAGTAGCTGGGACAACAGGCACACACCAGCACACCTGGCTAATTTTTGTATTTTTAGTGGAGATGGAGTTTCACCATGTTGACCAGGGTGGTCTCTAACTCCTGACCTCAGGTAATCCACCCACCTCAGCCTCCCAAAGTGCTGGGATTACAGGCATGAGCCACTGCGGCTGGTCTGATACGGCCTTTCTTCTGCGTTCCCTGAATGATCCCACTGCCGACCTTCCCACACCTGACTGAGAGAGCTGACGGATTGCCTGTGGTCATTTTCAACAGAGGCAACTTATATTTTCTATTAAAAAATCTGAATGGTACTCCCACAATTCAATAATAACTGAAAACTTTGCCCCTCACTTTGACTTACACAAATTTTGTCTGGAAGGTGCATAAAAAGGAAGGAATAAATGGCTATCATATTAATGACTGCTGTTGGACTCTCCAGCTTTTATAAGCTGAACCATACTTGCAAGATTCGAATATCTTCTTTAGAAAATCATTTATCTGGCCGGGCACGGTGGCTCGAGGCTGTAATCCCAGCACTTTGGGAGGCCGAGGCAGGTGGATCACAAGGTCAAGAGATCGAGACCATCCTGGTCAACATGGTGAAACCCCGTCTCTACTAAAAATACAAAAAATTAGCTGGGCATGGTGGCACGTGCCTGTAATCCCAGCTACTTAGGAGGCTGAGAGGCAGGCGAATTGCCTGAACTCAGGAGGCGGAGGTTGCGGTGAGCTGAGATCGCGCCATTGCACTCCAGCCTGGGTAACAAGAGTGAAACTCCATCTCAAAAAATAAAAAAAAAAGAAAATCATTTATCCATTAGGGGAAAAAACACTGATGAAGTCTTGAATGAAGGCAAACAATATCACAGACTACTGATGCAAACCTGTCTTTATTAAAATTCTGGTTAAAAATGCTAGAATGTTATAGCGGAAAAAGATGTCAGCGAACACTATCATTTTGAGTACTCTGAGAAAAACAGATATGGAGGACAGAAAATTGGAGAACCAATGTGGATTCTGAATATTTCTGAAGAAAATTCCAAAATGGAAAAGAAGCAGTATTTAGAGAATAGTTTTCTGGAGCTGGAGAAAATCCCAGCCCTTCAGAAGAAAAGGCTCTACCATATTAAGGAAAAAGTAACAAAAGTGTTAATAACTAGATGTAAACTAGTGAAACTGAATTTCAAAAATAAAGAATACCACAGATTTTCCGGAAGAAAAAGAAAAAATTCCCATGAAGTAAAGTTTCTTATGAGTGGCACAGAGTAACAGGGTATGATAGGACCGTATACACAATACATTGATGGGTAAAGTCTATGTGTGACTCAATAATTCTGCATTAACTCATATGCGAAAGCCATAAAAATAATTATCTCATATAGAGACTGTAAAGAATGACATTTTCTCTGAAAAAAAAAATCTATTCAGAAATGTACTATAGATGACTGGAAGATTAGTCAAAGCAAAATATTTTAAAGTGATGTGCAGGGTGTAGAAGTCCTGATGATAAGCATGGAAATTAATTTAATGTAGGAAATAAGTCTAGATAATTACTGTAAATATGGCTGAAAAACACTGCAAAAGGTAAAAATAATTCAAATTTTGATCTGTTTTGTAAAAAAAAATTTTAGTAAAAATAATTTGTGGTTCAATCAAATAAGCAAGTAATATTTTTTTTTTTCAGTGAAAAACAAGTATTCCCAAACAACTCAATACACAGCAATGGAAAAAAAAAAAAACTGTAGATCAAAATTAAGTGTTTAGTCAATACTAAAGTGTATAATAAAGTATTTAAATTTTCCTCAGTTCTCACTCCACCAAGCATTTTTGTTTTGTTTTATTTTGTTTTTCTGAGATAAAGTCTTGCTTTGTTGCCCAAGTTGGAGTACAGTGGAGTGATTAGGGCTCAATGTAGCCTCAACTTGCAGGCCTCAAGCAATCCTCCCACTTCAGCCTTCCAAGTAGCTGGGATTATAGGTGTGCACCACCATGCCTGGCTAATTTTTGTATATTTTGTAGAGATGTATATTCCCATGTTGCCCAGGCTGGTCTTGAATTTCTGGGCTCACACTATCTGCCCACCTCATTCTGCTAAAGTGCTGGTATTACAGGCATGAGTCACTGTGCCTAGCCCAAGCATTTCTATAGAAAGATAAAGATTTTGAGAAAAAAAAAAAAAAAAAAAAAAAAAAAAAGGTTTGGTTTATATTTCCCCTATGACTTAGAAATGAAGATGAGATAAAAATACACTACTTGGGAGGCTAAGGTCAGAGGATCATTTGATCCCAGGAGATCTAAGCTGCAATGAGCTGGGGTTGTGCCACTGAACTCAAGAGCCTGGGTGACAGTATGAGACCCTGTCTTAACAACAGAAAATAATTCATAGCATTTGCTATGTCTTAGGAAAGTTTTAATGACTTGCCATAAAGAACTAAAAGGGGAAAATCATTTCTTAGATATTACTTACGCTTTACAAATGATGGAGTGCTGAACCTCAAACTCCAAATTAGTAATAACAGGGCAAGTGTATACTCTGGTAGCTGAAATATCTGGTGAATTTTCTTCTCCAGAAACAGGTTCAGTCTTCCAAGTTTTATTTAATTTTTCCATATCTTCTTTCAGCTGGTCCAAGCACTGACTTAAAAATTCATGAGCATCCTAATAAGACAACGATATCCTTAATCAGATAAAAACATTCTTTGTCACAATAATAGCTTATTGAAGCTGCACCTGGTGCTTAACAGCTGTAATCCCAGCACTCTGGGAGGCCAAGGCAGGTGTATCACTTGAGGTCAGGAGTTTGAGACCAGTCTGGCCAACATGATGAAGCCCCATCTCTACTAAAAATACAAAAATTAGCCAGGTGTGGTGGTGGGTGCCTGTAGTCCCATCTCCTTGGGAGGCTGAGGCAGAAGAATCACTTGAACCCAGAAGGCAGAGGTTGCAGTGAGCCAAGATTACACCATTATATTCCAGCTTGGGTGACAGAGCAAGATTCTGTCTCAAAAAAAGGAAAACTAACAAAAAACAAAATAACCAAAAAACAGTATCTTATGAACATAATTTATACAGTGAAAGCCCTTGGAATTCAATGACATATGTGAACAACGTCAGGTTTATTCTTATAAGAATTTGGGGGCTAAAAACAAAAAAGAATAAAAATAAAAAGAATTTGGGGTGCTGCATATTTTATGAATAAAAACAAATGACAGATTATATGTTCTTAGTAATTATATCAATTGTATAACCCCTCACTTTGCTTTTTTTAAAAAAGCTTTTTGCAGCTAACACAGCCCAAATCCTTGCACTAGCAAATCAAATCTATATATTAAAATATGGTACAATACACAGAAGAGTTACCTTTAGTCTTATTACAACTCCTTATGTTTTTCTTTCTTTCTTTTTTGAGAAGGATTTTCGCTGTTGCCACCCAGACTGGAGTGCAATGGCACAATCTCGGCTCACTGCAACCCCCACCCCCCAGAGGTTCAATAGATTCTCCTGCATCAGCCTCCCCAATAGCTGGGATTATAGGCATTCGACACCATGCCCAGCTAATTTTTTTGCATTTTTAGTAGAGATGGGGTTTCACCATGTCAGTCAGGCTGGTCTGGAACCCCTAACTGCAGGTAATCCACCTGCCTTGGCCTCTGAAAGTGCTGGGATTATAGGCATGAGCCACCATGCCCAGCCTCTCCTCAGGTTTTTCATTACATAATAAACACGAATACACAAATCTCATTTTAAAATGAAAATCAAGAAACACTAAAATCATGTCTATTTCCATGATCTCTGAAATATCTGTTTTATTTATTTTTATAAATATTGATTGATTGATTGACTGACTGAGATGGAGTCTTGCTCTGTCACCCAGGTTGGAGTGCAGTGGCACAATCTTGGCTAACTGCAACCTCTGCCTCCCAGCTTCAAGTAATTCTCCTACCTCAGCCTCCCCAGTCGCTGGGATTACAGGTGCCCACCACCATGCCCAGCTAATTTTTCTATTTTTAGTAGAGACAGGGTTTCCATGTTAGCCAGGCTGGTCTCAAACTCCTGACCTCAGGTGATCTGCCCACCTAGGCCTCCCAAAGTGCTGGGATTACAGACATGAGTCACTGTGTCAGGCCTCTGAAACGTTTTAAAACAATTAATACTCACATTCTGCATATAGCCAGAGAATCTCTCTGCAGTAGCTGAAATGGCATTTTTAACCTTCTTGAGTAAATCTTTTTTGGTCTCTGAATTACAGATATCTTTTTTAACAAGCAAGTGTGCAAAGCGTCTGGAAAAACAAAAAACAAAATTTTACATGACATGGCATGATATTTTAAAGACTACTAATAACAGCACAGAAAATTTTTGATTGTCTAAAATTCCATTATTCTATAATCAATGAAGTAAAAGGTTACTCGATAAGTACAGTACATAATGATTACCTGATAAGTGCATTGAGGGGAATTTTCTTCCATGGGATACCTTGTTTAAGCAAGTCATTTGCAAATGACTGGAGTGAAAATAGAGATTGTAAAATAGCATTCATATAGCAGGTATTTCCCAAATTGGAGAAGCTGAAAATTAAAGAAATAGTGCTTTAGAAGAAGGCAACAGGAATTCCTAAAGTATGTTCAGTAAAGTAGGAGTTCTCCACTTTAATATGTATCCAAATCACCTGCAGGGCTTGTTAAACTACATATCGCTGGACCCTAACCCCAAGGTTTGATTCAGCAGGTTTAGACAGAGAAGACACAAAAGTGTCCATTTCTAACAAGTTACTAGATCATGTTGAAGCCACTGGTCTGGGAACTACATTTTGAGAACCACTGCATTATGACATTATAATAATAAGCTGCACACGGTGGCTCATGTCTGTAATCCCAGCACTTTGGAAGGCCAAGGTGGGCAGATCACTTGAGGTCAGGAGTTCGAGACGAGCCTGGCCAATATGGTGAAACACCGTCTCCACTAAAAATACAAAAGTTAGCCAGGCATGGTGGTATATGCCTGTAATTGCAGCTATTTTGGAGACTGAGGCAGGGAGAATCACTTAAATCTGGGAGGCAGAGGTTGCAGTGAGCCGAGATCGTGCCACCACACTCCAGCCTGGGCAACAGAGTGAGATGCCGTGCCAAAATATATATATATATATATTCTTATCTAATACACGTTCCATGATTCAATTTTGTCAACTGATCCAAGAAAGTTCTTTATAGCTTTTGTTCCCTCACTTAGGCACAAGATTCAGTCGAGGATCACATGATGTTTTGTCTCTTTAGTTTTCTTTAATCTGGAATAATTCCTCAGCTTTCTCTTACACGACACTGACATTTTTGAAGAACACAGTTCTCTCTACCCTGGGTTGTTTTGTTTTTGTTTTTGAGACAGGGTCTTGCTCTGTTGTCCTGGGTGGAGTACAATGGCGTGATCATGACTCACTGTAGCCTCAACCTCCCAAGCTCAAGCAATCTTCCTACCTCAGCTTCCTGACTACAAGTATGTGCCACTATGCCTGGGTAATGTTTTATTTTTTGTAGAGATGGGATCTCACTATGTTGCCTAGGCTAGTACTGAGCTCCAAGGCTCAAGCAATCCTCCTGCCTTGGCCTCCCAAAGTGTTGGGTTTACAGCGTGAGTCACTAACCCCAGCCTGTCTTTTTGGGTTGTTTTTTGAGACAGCATCTCACTCTGTTGCCCAGGCTAGAGTGCAGTTGCGTGATCTTGGTTCCCTGCAACCTCTGCCTCCTGGGTTCAAGCAAGTCTCATGCCTCAGCCTCTCAAATAACTAGGACAACAGGCATGTGCCACCATGCCTGGCTAATTTTTATATTCATTTATTATTTTTTTGAGATGGAGTCTTGCTCTGTCGCCCAGGATGGAGTGCAGTGGTACGACCTCGGCTTACTCCAACTTCCGTCTCCCAGGTTCAAGCAATTCTCCTGCCTCAGTCTCCTGAGTAGCTGAGATTACAGGCATGTACCACCATGCCTGGCTAATTTTTTCTATTTTTAGTAGAGGTTTCATGTTGGCCAGGCAGGTCTTGAACCCCGGACCTCAAGTGATCTACCCGCCTCAGCCTCCCAAAGTGCTGGGATTACAGGCGTAAGCCACTGCACCCAGCCTGTATTTTTAATAGACAGGGTTTCCCCATGTTGTCCAGGCTGGTCTTGAACTCCTGACCTCAAGTGATCTACCTGCCTTGGCCTCTCAAAGCACTGGGATTATAGGCTTGAGTCACCTCACCTGACCTAGCCTTATTTTTAATAGAATGTCCTCATACCGGGCTTGCCATTTCCTCATGATGAGATTCAGCCCAAACTGCAAGAGCACACGAGCAAACAGTGATACCATGTCATCCTTATTTATTTTTTTTAAGAGCTTGTTTGGATATTCTAGCATGAAGTGTAGCTACTGGTATACCCCTGACGGAAGACTGGTCCTCCTCTACTGATGATGGTCATCCTCTTTGACTGAGTGCACAGCTTTGGGAGGAATGCACTTGAAGTGATGAGGGAGGAAGGGGATATCTGCCTAGCCAGTCAGATCAGCCAAATCAACCCTGGTAATCAATGGTGTGACGGATGTTGCAGCCAGATCGCCCTCACATCCAATTCTTTTTTTTTTTTTTTTTTTTTGAGAGAGGGTCTCATTCTGTTGCCTAGGCTGGAGTGCAGTGGCACAATCTTGGCTCCCTGCAGCCTCAGCCTCCCCAGGCTCAGAGGATCCTGCCAACTCAGCATCCTGAGTAGCTGGGACTATAAACGGGTACCACCATGCCAGGCTAATTTTGTATTTTTTGTAGAGACAGAGTTTCATCATGTGATCCCAGACTGGTTTTGAACTCCTGGCTCAAGCAATCTGCCTGCCTCAGCTTCCCAAAGTGCTGGGATTACAAGTGTGAGCCAAGGTCTGGTGGCTACTCTATCCTTCTAAGGGTATCACACCCAGGAATATGTGATATTCCTGTGTTGCCCACTGGGTGATGTCAATTTTGAGTACCCAAGAGAACTACTGCATCTGCTTCTGCCTATGAGGAAATATGAGAGTCTGAATCATCTTCCTACTGTAAACAATAAGAAAAAGGAACAAAACAGAGAAAATAGCTATTTTCAGATACCAGACAACAGGCAGCATGAAACAGTGATCCATCAGAGAAGGAAAATAAATGTTGTGAGCCCTACTATTACCCAGGTTTTCTGTCTGGAGGCAATCTGTGAACTGCAATTCAGGGAGCACTCAAACAGAGCCCAGACATCTGACCAAATTGAGCTGAGAGAAACAAGTTTGAGAAGCTGAGGTTGCTGAGATTTCTGGGACAGAGTACTTGAGAGGTGGGAACTGAGCAAAGGAAAAGCTCCAGAAACCTGCATAGAGCAGTCTGTTTGAGTACTTGGCTGAATACCAACCTGTGTATACAGAGTGAAACTTAGTCTTATTGACACTAAACAAGAAGAACTTCAAGGAAAAGAATGTTTACTGTGGCGTTATTGGCCAAACAACTCCCAGAATTCATGCAGGGACTAAAATTCTACCAGTCTGAATTTCTACCAGTCAGCGTGGAGAGACCTAGATGAATTCAAGGAGTGTGAACAGAGACCCCAAAGGAACTATGCTTTAGGAAAAAGAGCAAATTAGCCTTAAAGGATACTCTATATTCAACCAAAAAGAACTTAGGCCAATCACACAACTGAGAAAGAAAGAAAAAAAAAATGAAAATGAAAAAAAGAACTTAAATAGGAGTCTCAAAATAATCAAAACCACCATAAACAAGGATATTAAAACGACTATTTAAAATATGCTCTATATGATCAAAAATGCAAAGGAAATCATAAACGTAATGAGAGAAGTGGAAGATTTTTTAAAGACCCAAATTAAACTTCTGGAGATGAAAAGCAGAGTATTTAAAATGAAAATTTCACTTGATGGAATTAATAGCATATGAGACACTACAGAAGGAAATAACAGTGACCTTGAAAGCACAGCAACAGAATAGATTCCCCCTGACCTGTGGGACAATGCCAAATACACTATAAAAAATAACTGGAATCCAGAGGAGGGAAGAGTCAGGGGGGAAAAAAAAAACACCCAAAAAATCAACAGATTAAAAATGTTCAAAATCTGATCTAGAAATCCACAGATTCAAGAAGCTCAACAAATCCCAAGTGAGATAAACACAAATCAAAATGAAGCCCATCAAAATAAAACTGCTAAAAGTTAGCAATAAAGAGAAAATCTTGAAAAGCAGTCGGAGAAAAACTGTCACAGAGCCTTCAGGGAAGAAGATTAAATCACTTACAAGGGCAGAAGAAGAAGACTGGCATCAGATTTCTGAAAAGCAAATACAAAGCAAGGTAACAGTAAAGTAGCATTTTAAGAAACCCAAGGAAAAAAAAGCAAGACCCAAGGATATCCAGCCAAACTATTTTTCAAGTATCCAAGCTAGAGAAAAAATCTTGAATGTGCCAGCTAAGGGAACAAGGTACATAATTGTAGAGTTAAGACTAAAACAAGATTAAGACCATAGGCTTCTAGTCAGAAATTATATGAAAAGATGCCTTTAAAATACTGAAAGAAACACACTATGAAATTAGAGTTCTATATGAGCTAGATTTCTAGATCCAGTGGAAATACATTTTAAAAGCAAAATCCTTTTTCTGACAAACAAAATCTGCAAAATCTGAGAATACCTGCTGCCAGGAGACATGCACTGTAAGAATTCTGAATGTTAAAGCAACATTCTTCACGCAGAAGGAAAAATGACACCAGATAGAAACTTGGATCCACACAAAAGAATAAAGAGCAATTAAGGCTGGGCGTGGTGGCTCACGCCTGTAATCCCAGCACTTTGGGAGGCTGAGATGGGTGGATCACGAGGTCAAGAGATCGAGACCATCCTGGTCAACATGGTGAAACCCCGTCTCTACCGAAAATACAAAAATTAGCTGGGCATGGTGGCGCACACCTGTAGTCCCAGCTGCTCGGGAGGCTGAGGCAGGAGAATTGCTTGAACCCAGGAGACGGAGGTTGCGGTGAGCCGAGATCGCGCCATTGCACTCCAGCCTGGGTAACAAGAGCAAAACGCCGTCTCAAAAAAAATAAAAAAATAAATAAAATAAAAAATAAAGAGCACTTAAAACAATAAATCGTGGGAAAATACAAGCTACATTTCTGTCTCATCTTTTTGTTTTTTTGAGACGGAGTTTCACTCTTGTTACCCAGGCTGGAGTGCAATGGCGTGATCTCAGCTCACCGCAACCTCCGCCTCCTGGGTTCAGGCAATTCTCCTGCCTCACTCAGCCTCCTGAGTAGCTGGGATTACAGGCACGCGCCACCATGCTCAGCTAATTTTTTGTATTTTTAGTAGAGACGGGGTTTCACCATGTTGGCCAGGATGGTCTCGATCTTTTGACCTCGTGTTCCACCCGCCTTGGCCTCCCAAAGTGCTGGGATTACAGGCATGAGCCACTGCGCCCGGCCCCCATCTTTTAATTTCTTTAAATACTACTGAACTGTTTAAAGTAAAAATAATAACATCAAATAATACACTTCAAAGAGGTAACTACATGGTATGGGA